CCAATATTTCAGTGAGTTAATATTTTTGGGGATAATATTAATATGTATTAATATAAAAGTGATAGGTATTTTAAATTAAAAATAAATATCCAGTAAATTCCAATAATATTCAATTATCCGAAAATTATATTTTAATCTTTTGGGTTGTCCCAAAATAATGCAAATTTGAGTTCTATCTATTTCAAGATTTATTAAAATATCAAATTATATTAGATTATATTTCAAAATGATTAATAGCTTAGTTTTTTGTTGACGCCACGGTTGATGTACGAAGTGTTGCCAAACCTCTTCCAAACAAACAAACACCAAATGTCAGTAAATTTCTGATACCACATTTGCCACGCTACAAGTACAAAGGTTTGCGCCTCTGATCCCATTTGTCGATTGAGCTTGCGAATGAGAACAGAATCTGCAGGGACACCTGAACGAGCAGAAAAAGGATGGTGAATCAAATTCCAGCGTCTGAACATATATTTCGGGGATTTCGACCCTCAAACTCAATATATATATATATATATATATACATATATATATATATACATATATATATACATATATATATATATATAATTTCATGATTTTCATGCACTGCTTCACAACTCTTTAAATGCCAGAAGCATTTGAGGTAGACCCGGTGGCCTCGCTGCTGCATGCGCTGCAACAGGCGCAACGCCTCACCCCACTCGGTGGCCCAAAGACAAGCCTGGCAGTGGCCGTGGCAGTGGCCGCACCCAAAAGGGCACCTGTTCACTCCATCTGATTCGGATCTGATTCCCACCTCGATAGCACAAGTGAACGAAAGCACATTGGGAGAATGATGTGCATCTTCCATCACGTCCAACCATTCAATGGCCGCTTGATGCTGAGAGACTTTGGCAAAAGCGTTGATGATGTTGGTGTGCCTTGGAGCTGGACAAACAGTTTGTATCGTTCTTATCCATGACCCCACTATCCTGCTGAGACATGGCTAAACTTGGCGAATTCCTGGACAGTTACGTCATGATGTTGGGCTGGACAGAAGTCTCCAACATATCTTGGAGGCAGCGAAGAGCCCAATCAGGTTCTCTGGCCTGTGCTGCAGCTGCTATTACTCCGTTGTACGGCCTTGGCATGGCAACACTATGTAGCACTCAGTTTCTTTCATGCTTCCAGTCTCCAAGAAAAAGTCCACTAACACAACGAATCCAAGGCCAAGGTGCCCTGAGTCAAGCTGCAGCCCACTCTCCCGCATGCGCCGCAACCACTCGGAGGCTTCCCAAAGTCTTCCAGACCGGGCGCAGATGAAAATCCTCGCCAATCACGTGTGGTGTGATCTTTCAAAAGAAAATACTTAGTGTCACATCCAATAAACCATTCAAATGAGGCACACAGACACAAAGGCACCCAAGTCGGGCATATGCTGCGCTGCCAGTCGATTGAACCAATGTTGCGCATCTGCCAGTGGCCGGCCTTTCCTTAGAGGTTGAATGTGATAAGTGAAGAGTCAAGTCAATAAATTCCTCTGTGTTGCAAATAGATGCATGGGGATGCGGAAAAAATTCAACTACAGGGCGTTGAGAGGCGTACTGTACTTGACAGTTGTCTCCAGGCTCTTTGCCCTGTATCAATTTTACCAATCTTCCATCATTGCCAAGTCTCTTGGCGAAAGCATCAAGAATCCCGCAATATGATGACACGTCGGGCCGCAGCTGTGCTGCCCTCAACCTCTCAAACCACTTGATTGCCTGTCACAGTCAGTTCGGCTTCCATCAGGTTCCCAATCATGGTAGGATTGACTTGAGGGACTAAAATTAGGAGCGCCGGAATTCTCCATTAACATACTGAAAAAAAAAAGTCAGCCCTCCAGGCCTTCTTTGGATGTCCCACTCGGGCACAGGCGTGAATAATGCAGTTGTAGGTAATGATGTTCGGGCTCAGTCCAACATTTTCTGCTTGCTCTAGCCACTTGGCAGCATCGGCTGCCTTGCCAAGTTGAGAGAATGCATTGACGATGCTGGACAGCGCCACCACATCTGGAGCAATGGTTTGATTCTGCATTTGATGAAGTATATCGATGGCTTCGTCTGGCCGTGCGGCCCGGCTGCAGGCATCCATAGCCTTATCTAATAAGGCCACGGGGAGTCGAGTGACATCATCTGTGTAATTCACGTGAGATATTGGTACTATTGGTGTCCTTTGCCAAGCAACTGCACTGAAGCAAACCTGATTTGGCGTGATTTGCAAGTGCCCCATTCCTTGAAGAACTTCAATAGCTGCAGCAGCATTGCTCCCCTGCGGCAAGGGCTGAATGTCAATGTCCGGCTGTGAATGAGGTTCATTGAAACGACCCGAAGGGCAGACAGGAAAGCTCCAACTCAAAAGCCCTCAGCTCTCAAACATAAAATACAGTGTATCATGTTCCCTTATGTGTCTACTTTGCGACCAGAACGATATGACAATGCACCTCCAGATCGAAAAGTCTTCAAAATATGACAAAGTGATACTGCGAGTATCTTGACAATCTCAATGCTTGCGTACCAGGTTCGAGCCCCACCATCCCCACCTTTGCATAAGCATTCAGGAGGCTTCCGTAGCTCTCGAGTGATGGTTCAATACGCCGCTGAGTCAAGCCAAGCATCAAAGCCTTGGAAGGAACATCAAAAGCCGCAGGAATTGGAGGCCTCAAAAAGGTCAGTTTTTCGTTTCCCGTCGTCACGTCGTCATTCCACGTCAAGGTCCATAAGGTCCATGTCCAATTCCCAAGGCCTCTGTCTCTGGCACCAAGCCTGCCTGCCCAGGCGGGAGTGTCATATGTGACCCTGCAGCCCCTTCTCAGGTATGCATCCGCATGTATAACAAGAGATTAAAGTAGCCACAACATTGCTAAATACATCTAACTACTAAACTAAACTATCCAAGGTTGACCCAAACTACCCATCACATAAACTTTCCAACCCACTAGGCAGGACTTGCTACAGCATCTAAGGCCACTTCCTTTGGATCTCTGACATTGCTGAGGTCTGCGACTTTCAACAGGGGACCGCCTGTGCTGCAGCAGCGATGACCGTATTGAAGTTGATCTTGTCCTCCAAGTGGTGCAGAAAAAATCGCCGTGAAAGAAGCATCCGCTTTCTTCAAACAACTGCTTTCGTCCACACAAACAGCCCCTCGTGCAGCTGGGATGTTTTGGATCACAAACACCAAGCCCAAGAGATCTGCCGAGCGTCCGGTGGAAAAAACTGACTCATTCGTGCGAGGTAGGCCAAGGCATTCTCCAAGTCCCCAGACTTAGCGAAGGCCTCAATTACCTTGCCATATGTCCTGCGCCCACAGAGACTCCCATAGGATGATTTTGGATGATTCAGATACAATACATGTATGTATGCAGTGCAACGCAACGCAACGCAACGCCATGCCATGCCATGCCATGTCTGTCTGTCTGTCTGTCTGTGTTTGTGTTTAAATATACCTTATATATAAGATAGCCACTTGTGATGCTTCACCTCCCTCCATGCCAGTCTTTGCATTGGTCCGAATTCGTTGCGAGCACATTCGATTGTGCCATTCTGCTGCCTTATGACCCAATCCGCGGTTCGCATATGCCTGGAAAGCGCGTTTTTGAAGGCACCAGATGAATCAAGTCCAGCTACTCATTCTCTTACTTTCTATTGTCAATCCTCACCTGCCTTCATCAAGGTATTGCACGTCATGGTGTGCTTGTTCTGTGGCGTCAATGGGAACACTGCCTCAGCGAAAACGGCGCGATGCGCTTCCAACTGTCTCCACATGTCACAAAGTTTCCAAGGCCAAGGCCCAAAATATACCAAAGCATTTACAGCAAGACACGGAGAAAAGTTCCTCTGCTTTCTGCACATCGCCCAATTCTGCTGCCTCATTCAAAGCTGCAGCTGCAGCCGACGCCAGTGACGCGCCACGGCGCTGGAGCCCAATTTCGATCCACAGGCGATGGAGCCTCAGATTCTGCGATAATGAAAAGCTGTTGTTCTGCGAGTCGCAAGTCGCAACTTGCAATTCCTAGCCCAAAATAGCATGCGAGATGATGCTAGATGCATCTTTTGGCCATATGTGTTTTAAACATGTTGAAAACATATGAAAACTATATAAACCATTATAAACCACTATAAACCACTATAAACCATTATATAAACCATGATAAACCACTATAAACCATTATATAAACCATTATAAACCACAATAAACCATTATAAACCTGTGATCTGGATGTGCATTGACCTCCAAGAACAGCTGCTCAAAGACCAAAAAAAAGTGCCATGTCACATGACTGGCTCGACAGCTGCATCACGCCAGTGATTTTGCCGGAAGCCAATGATTATGAAAACATATGAAAACTAGAAGAAAAACCCTCTGACGCTTGAGCCAACAGGCCTCTTTGGACTGCAATTCGAGAAATTCCGGATCTAGTGATGTACTCAAATCGAATGGCTACACGAGTCTTGTGGTGCAATCTGTCTGGGTTTCTGCCCCGACCTTGCATAAACAAAGAATCAACGTGAATGCGGCGGCTGCTCTTGTTTCACTCATATTGGAGTACAGCAGATTTCAACAGCTCCCTTCAAGGCCTTGTCAGGGAATCTAGGGGTCCCCCATTCACGACTTTCGAAACCTGAACTACAGGGTGCCACATGGTGCCACTCTCCCATGTCTTTGATCGTGCCACGTCCAACTTTCACGGCCCGCTTCGTCATAGGGTCGTAGCAGTCAAGGAATATATTTCACACCCTCGCCGACCTAGGAGGACTGCGACATTGTAAAGCAATTAGCAAATGCGATTGATTGCAAACGCTCCATTGTTGCTTTCTGTATATGTAGCAATCGTTCGCCTAACTCGGATCTTCAAAGCTTTGCGAAATTCAGGCCGCCAGGGTCCATGATCATTGACGAAAAGCAGTCCGTTGCATTCAAGGACGGCCAGCATGTTGTCCAAGAACTTTGCATAGTTTTCGAAAACTCGCCTGTGATGTATCCCTGCAAACTGATATATGAGGTCAAACTTACAAGAAGCACACACGGGTAGCGGAATCAGCCAATTGTGCTGGAAGGAAATCGAGCCTCGCTCTGCACAAATGCGGAGCATAGAACAATCGTAAGCGCCAAAAGCCAAGAAATTGCGAACAGTCTTGAAATATCCTTTGCGCCGGAGTTCGCCCTCCAAAGAACATGATCCTGCCCCTGCATCGAGAATTCGTTTGAACTTTCCAGCTTTCACAGCCTCTTCCAAATGTGGGGGCAATTTGTAAGGATCTGAATTTGTGTAGCCAGCTTTGTATACATGTGCAGACTTTTTGCTATAAACATCAGCCCATTCATCCTCTCCCTGCTGTGTCTTTAGCACATTTGGCCGCCACCAATGTTGCAGACGTTGGTTTTCAACGCTTTCCTTTGGTTTGGGGTTGAACTTACTCGCAGTTTCTTTCTGGAATATTGATTTGAATCCTGGTTGTATCCACGCTTGACACTGGTTTTCCGGAGAGAGCTCAATCTTCCGGTCGCCAAACATAGATCTCATCCCACATGCTTTGCAAACTGGTAAATCTGGTACAACTCCCACCCGACGCACAAATGAATGGGCATAGGAACCAGCAAAGACAAGTTTAGCCGCCTGCGGGCTGAAGTCTGATATGTCGAAATCAGCAGCGCCCGAAACGAACAGTACTCCTTGTGGTGCCAAAATGCGCACCGCTTCGGTTACCACACCACCAAGTGAAGCTTTTGAAAAGGAGCTTACATCAAGCACGACAATGTCTGCTGCAAAGTCAACAAACGGAAGATCCTGAAACCGGTCCAGTCCGTACAACAGACTGTTTGCCCCACCCTCGAAAAGGGTCTGTGCATCCTTGTCCTCTGTGACGATGTACAGCGGGAAAAAGCCCGGACCGTGAAAAACAGGCAGCTGTTCACCACCCGTCGCCAATAGAATCACCGATCTGTGAATTTGCGATATGTCGCCACCTGCAGTTCGTGAGCCTATCAGAACGGGCAGAACCTCTCCCTCCGCAGGACCCTTCAGTTCAGCGTCTAGACATCCAAACATTTTTGGGGTGGACTATTGTACGCATTGTATCATATGTGTCCAGCGTCTAACTTGTTGATGGGCCTATCTATGCACTCATTGGAAGCCGAGAAAGTGACAAGAAAATTCCAATTCCCCCCGTATTGGTGGCAATCAGGGTCTGTTCCTTCGGTGGTCCATCCGTGAAGGGCTCACAGCCTTCGATTCTCCCAAATCTTGGAAGTTGTGCCAAAAATCAAAACTTGAGGACTTGCAGGTGTCCAGAAAGAGAGCTAAAAAGAGAAGGAGAACAACAAACAGATACATGTTACATAATGTTGGAGAATCATGATTAAATAGTGAAAACTAACCATTTTAGCACTTCTGTTCCTTACTTCTTGGTGAGTTTGGTCTTATTTTGTTCAAACTTCCACTGCTCATGTTGCTGGTAAGTGGTAGGCCATCTAGGAATTGCTTTTTCTCAAGTTTGATTGATGGTGACCAGTGACCAATGCCTTTGTGCTGCAGAATGCTACTACTACAGATTTCTAGGATGTTCACTTAGCTCAGATTGCAAGAAACTGAGGAGCACAAGTACTGCAGTTTGGGAATCAACTTCTCTTATATAGTTTTGAAGCCCGATTCTCCTTCTGCAAGTTCCCACCCAGACTCGAATAGCAGGGCTCCCCAACCCAGGAATATGTGTAGCAGAAAGCATTGGGCTTGCCAAGCTTGCATCAAAACTGAATTCGGAGGAGGACATGACTCCGATTCTGACACGCATCAAGTCACACTATACGAAAGCAATGCGCTTCATTCGCAAGTAAACAATACGAGAAATCTTATCACGTTTGAGCTTAGCATACTTGACCTGAAACGTGCCAAAGTTCTGAAAGAAAAGGAATTCTCTGGGACCAACGTTCTTTGTAATCCCTTGAATGGCCCAAACATAAATCTCATACTCTTGCCCTATTTCGTACTGAAGCCACTCCTAACTTCCGTTCGAAACTGGTGAAACTGAACCCAGTCGAACCCAATTGCGACGCCCGCCTAGGCAGGAGCGCTTTTTGCAAGAGCGCAAGCCGCTTGGATCTTGAGCTGCTGGGAGTGCATTGGCACTTGGAACTTCCTCTCGAACCCTGGTTGTGGGAGCTACATGTGTAGTCGTAGTCAAGGAAGTCTCGAGATGTGGTGGAGGAACTGGAAGTGCTGGTGCTGATGACGCTGATGGTGGACGTGGTGGACGTGGTGGACGTGGTGGGGGCACAGGTGGTGGAGGCACAGGTGATCCTCTTATCGCGTCCTTGGCACTGGCCAGGCTGGATGGCCTTAGCCGCGCAAGTCCCTCAAGCGAACTTTGTCGCAGAAGAGTGTCGCGCCGAAGCAGGAAACCACGCAGGCCAAACATGGTGATGCATCCTCCAAGCAGCAGCCCAGCAGCGAAGGACGCCACTGCCGAAAGCATGGGTCACACAATCAACTGCACGGGGACAAATTTTGGAGGCAGCGATACTTCTTGGTTCATCTCTGTTGTTGCTCATTCATGTGATATTCTGATATTCTGTTCAAAGTCACGCCACTCGAATGTTCCATTGACAAAACTGTGCAATGTGGCAAATACGTGATAAGTAACGATGACGTTCGATTGATAGTGGGAGAGCTGGTGTCAAGCTGGTTCATTACTTTTGTATAATGCTTGTGCTGTGCAAAGAGCTTGGTGATACTATCGATGGTCGCGAAGCCAAACGGCTCTCCAGCGGAAGCTTTTCAATATTTTTCAATGCTTCTAATGGAAAGTGTGGAAACCTTCCAACCGCTTTTTTCTGGCGCTGGTTCTGTCGATTTTCCACTGACCAAAAGACCCATCAGCACAAGGATATGCAAGGATGATCTCCTAGAAGCGTCAACCAGCTACAGAACCAGCACGAACCAAAGTGTATACCGAGTACTCTTAACCCACACACTATTGAATGCAAGTCTTACATTCAACAGTGTGTGGATATGTGTGGGTCATTTTATGCAGATACGAAGAAGTCCTAGAGATTGTATGGATCTTGTCATGTTCAATCAGGTCACTTCCAAAAACTCTCCAATCAAACAGAGATTTATATAGTCCTCTGCGGTTTCTACGGTATTTAGAGGAAAGGGACATGTTGAAAGATCTGGATGTCAGGAGTCTGCAAGCTTCTGGATTTCTGGAGCTGCTGAATCTGACCATTTAGACACAAGCCGGCCCAATCTTGGCATAAGAAGGTCAAAATGACTCAAAACATAAAAGTGTCGCATTGAGCCAAAATGGATGAACGAACTCAAGGAAGGTGTCCCATGCGTGGAAATTTCCAAAAGAAAAGTGAAGCCCCAAGAGACTTCTTGGCTGGCCTACGTCCCTGAATCCGAAACAGAAGGCATGGGAAGATTTCTTTTTTTCAAACAATATCAGCAAGTGCGATGTATTTCGATCGCTCGATCAGCGCTCTCTTTGTATGTGGCAATCTTTTCTGTTACCTTGACTTTCAAAGCTTTGCGAAAGTCAGGCCGCCAATTTCCAATATCATTGACGAAAAGCAGTCCGTTGCATTCAAGGACGGCCAGCATGTTGTTCAAGAAAGTTGTTTTGTTGTCAATATGTGTCATGTGATGTATCCCTGCAAACTGATATATGAGGTCAAACTTACAAGAAGCACACACGGGTAGCGGAATCAGCCAATTATGCTGGAAGGAAATCGAGCCTCGCTCTGCACAAATGCGGAGCATAGAACAATCGTAAGCGCCAAAAGCCAAGAAATTGCGAACAGTCTTGAAATATCCTTTGCGCCGGAGTTCGCCCTCCAAAGAACATGATCCTGCCCCTGCATCGAGAATTCGTTTGAACTTTCCAGCTTTCACAGCCTCTTCCAAACGATGCGGCAACTTGAAAGGATTTGAGTTCACATAGGCGCCACTGTAGGGCCCGGCATTCGTTTGGCTGTATCTATCAGTCCATTCGCCACGTCCCTGCTGTGTCTTTAGCACATTTGGCCGCCACCAATGTTGCAGACGTTGGTTTTCAAAGCTTTCATGCGATTTGGGGTTGAACTTACTCGCTGTTTCTTTCTGGAATATTGATTTGAAGTCTGGTTGTATCCACGCTGGGCATTGGTTTTCCCGAGAGAGCTGAATGTTCCGGCCGCCATACAAAGAACTCATCCCGCATGCTTTGCAAACTGGTAAATCTGGTACAACTCCCACCCGACGCACAAATGAATGGGCATAGGAACCAGCAAAAACAAGTTTAGCCGCCTGCGGGCTGAAGTCTGATATGTCGAAATCAGCGGCGCCCGAAACGAACAGTACTCCTTGTGGTGCCAAAATGCGCACTGCGTCGGTTACCACACCACCAAGTGAGGTTTTTGAAAATGAGTTTACATCAAGCACGACAATGTCTGCTGCAAAGTCAACAAACGGAAGATCCTGAAACCGGTCCAGTCCGTACAACAGACTGTTTGCCCCACCCTCGAAAAGGGTCTGTGCATCCTTGTCCTCTGTGGCGATGTACAGCGGAAAAAAACCCGGGCCGTGAAAAACAGGCAGCTGTTCACCACCCGTCGCCAGCAAAATCACAGATCTGTGGATTTCCGATATGTCCACACCTGCAGTTAGTAAGCGAGTGAACAATGCCATGCAACAAGAAAAAAGTGTCAGACTTGCATCAGAAAGGGAGTTGTCGACCCGTCACAATCTAATGCGAGTTTCTATAATGGTAATCATGGGCCAATTACACCCATGCTCGTGTGCCAAGCCAGCAACAAACTGTTGTTTCCTTCGGTGGTCTCTATCCTTCAAGGAACCTTTCCCTTTCAAACTCGGACAGCTAGGGCAACGAGGCATACAGAATATCCAATTCCAGGAAGTTGCGTGAAAAAACCTCGACATCAAGTGGAATGCATACACATTAAGTAGCCTGATGACTACGGGCAGCAACACTCCGGAAGGTAAATTTTGTTTACTGATTACTCTGTCCATTTGTTTGTAAGTTTAGTTTTTTTTTGTTCTGTTTATTGTTTTTATTTCACAATAGTGGCTGGCCATTTTGCGATCTTGTTTGTTGTGTTCAGAAATTTTATTTATATATGCGTTTATGTTTGACGATTATGCATATCACATCTGTTTCAATGTGTTTCTACCAAATCCTTCAGAAACATGAAAATAGACATGATCAATATGTGGCATCTGAGCAGAAATGATCATAGGTGCATCATGGCTGCAGCAGGAAAAGAAGATGAAGGCAGTAAAACCGATCCGCCGACCCCTGCCTAGCCATGGCCTAGGGGCGGCACCCGGGACCACCGCAGGTGTGCAACATTAGCCATCGCAGCTTCTGCGCTTTGCCAAATCACACAACTCTTTGCCGGCTTCCAAAGCTCTATTTCTATAGCATTCCCACACTGCTGCACGTTTCACCCAAGTGACACCCCTCGTTGCAGCTTCACTCCTTGCCAGCTCCGAAAATAAACAACTCTGTTCAGCACCTTGCCAAGTCCCAAAACTCCGCGCTTTTTGGAAGCTGTTTCTATAGCAGTTCGAAAGTGACGTTTCACCCACCCTTGAAATGTGTGGCTGCAGCTGCAGCGTGTTGCCAGCTCGCAAAACTCCTTACCAGCTCTGCCGCATGGCACTTTTCATCCACCCCTCAAACTCAAACCTCTTGCTGCAGCTCCACCCCTTGCCAGCTCTGAAAAGCAGCAGTGTTCTCAGCATCTTGCCAGGTCCCAGAACTCCGTGCCAGCTTCCAAAACCTGTTCTATAGCATTTCGAAACTGCCGTGTGGCACGTTTCACCCACCCCTGAAATGTGCCGATGCAGCTTCAGTCCGTTTCTACAGAATTTCGAAACTGCCGCATGGCGCATTTCACCCCCCTGAAATGTCCCGCTGCGGCTTCAGCGCGTTGCCAGGTCACAAAACTCCGCGTGCCGCTGCAGCTTCAGCGTGTTGCCAGGTCGCAAAACTCCTTGCTAGCTCTGCCGCGTGGCACATTTCACCAACTTCACTCAGCTCCGAAAAACAATGTGCTTACCTTGCCAGGTCCCAAATCTCCTTGTGCCGGCTCCCGAAATCTGTTTCTACATAACATTTCGAAAGCCGCGTGGCACGTTTCACCCACCCCTGAAATGTGCCGCTGCAGCTTCAGCGCGTTGCCAGGTCGCAAAACTCCGTGCCAGGTTCCAAAATCCGTTTCTTTAGCATTTCGAAACTGCTGCGTGGCGCGTTTCACCCCCTGAAATGTCTCGCTCCAGCTTCAGCACGTTGCCAGGTCGCTAAAACTCCGAGCCAGCTCCCAAAACCTGCTTCTATTCTATGCATTATATGCATGTCGAAACTGCCGCGTGGCACGTACCACCCACCTCTCAAATGTGCGGCTGCAGCTTCAGCGTGTCCTTGCCAGCTCTGCCGCGTGGCACATTTCACCTAGCCCTGGAGCCTCTTGCTGGAGCTTGATTCCTTGCCAGCTTCTGTTCAGCACCTTGCCAGGTCCCAAAACTCCGCGCCAGCTTCCAAAAGCTGTTTCTATAGCATTTCGAAACTGCCGCATCGCACATTTCACCCACCCCAGACATGTCGGCGAGGGGCTCACTTTGGGCATAAATTCGAGCTCACTTGGGGCATAATTTTTTGAGGTTCACTTGGGGCATAAAATAGGCTCACTTGCACCATAACTGAGCTTACTTGGGGCATAATGGGCTCACTTGGGGCATAAATGGCCTCACTTGAAACATAAATGGGCTCACTTGGGGCATACATGGGCTCACTTTGGGCACAAATGGGATCACTCTGGGCATAAAGGGAAAAGTAAAACTTTATATGTTCTTGCACTTAATGTAAGGACAGCCCCGACAACTTTAGGGTTTGTATGTTGCTGCACTTAATGTAAGAAGAGCCACGACACCTTTAGGGTTTGTATGAGACACGACACCTTTAAGGTTTGTATGTTGTTACACTTAAACGAAGAGCCACGACACCTTTAGGGTTTTTCTTTGTTGTTGCACTTCATGCAATAAGAAGAGCCACGACACCTTTAGGGATTATATGTTGCTGCACTTAATGTAACAAGGGCCACGACACGTTTCGGGGTTATATGTTGTTGCACTTAATGTAAGAAGGGCCACGACCCCTTTAGGGTTTATATGTTGTTGCACTTCATGTAAGAAGAGCCGCGACAACTTTAGGGTCTGTATGTTGTTGCACTTAGTGAGGAGGGCCACGACACCTTTAGGGTTTTTATGCTCTTGCGCTTCATGTAAGAAGAGCCACGACACCTTTAGGGTTTGCATGTCGTTACACCTAAGGTAAGAAGAGCCACGACACCTTTAGGGTTTTTATGTTGTTGCACTTACTGTAAGAAGAGCCAACACCCTTTAGGGTCTGTATGTTGTTACACTCAATGCAAGAAGAGCCACGACACCTTTAGGGTTTGCATGTTGTTACACTTAGTGTAAGAAGAGCAACGACACCTTTAGGGTATATATTAACTTGGTTCAAGAGCTATACTCTGTAGAGGGCCTAGAGGGTATATACGTATATACATATAGGTTCCGCATTTATTTACAACATATATGGGCAATATGTGTCACATATGCCCCCACAATTGTTTTTCACATATGCGCAAATGTCCGTAAGATCTGATTTTGTGTAAATAAGATCTTACGGACTTATAATATATGTCAGTAAGACCTTATTTACGTAAAACAAGATCTTGAATCTTAAATATATGATATGTGATACATAAATGTAATGTATATGTAATGCATATGCAACTGCAAATGTGTACACAAATGTCTACATCGATATATGTATATGATCATGTCCGCCTGTACTCTACAGAAACCTGGCCCACATAGCTCTTGAATCAAGATAAGGTATATATGTTGTTGCTTATAATGTAAGAAGGGCCACGACACCTTTCGGTTTTTTAGGTTGTTGCACTCACTGTAAGAAGAGCCACGGCACCCTTAGGGTTCATATGTCGTTACACTTAGTGTAAGAAGAGCCACGACACCTTTAGGGTTTTTCTTTGCTGTTGCACTTAATGTAAGGAGAGCCACGACACCTTTAGGGTCTATATGTTGTTGCACTTAATGTAAGAAGAGCCGCGACAACTTTAGGGTCTGTATGTTGTTACACTTAGTGAGGAGGGCCACGACACCTTTAGGGTTTTTATGCTCTTGCGCTTCATGTAAGAAGAGCCACGACACCTTTAGGGTTTGCATGTCGTTACACCTAAGGTAAGAAGAGCCACGACACCTTTAGGGTTTTTATGTTGTTGCACTTGATGTAAGAAGAGACACGACACCTTTAGGGTTTGTATGTTGTTACACTTAATGTAGGAAGAGCCACGACACCTTTAGGGTTTCTATATTCTTGCACTTGATGTAAGAAGAGCCACGACACCTTTAGGGATTATATGTTGTTGCACTTAATGCAAGAAGGGCCACGACACGTTTCGGGTTTATATGTTGTTGCATATAATGCAAGAAGGGCCACGACACCTTTCGGGTTTTTACGTTGTTGCACTTAATGTAAGAAGAGCCAACGCCCTTTCAGGTCTGTATGTTGTTACACTCAATGCAAGAAGAGCCCCGACACCTTTAAGGTTTGTATGTTGTTAGACTTAATGTAAAAAGAGCCACGACAACTTTAGGTTTTTTATGTTCTTGCACTTGATGTAAGAAGGGCCACGACTTATATTCTTGCACTTGATGTAAGAAGAGCCACGGCACCTTTAGGGTTTGTATGTTGTTGCATTCTATCTGACAATGACCTCAACGAGACACGAAGAGCACAGTTGCTTTTAGATATGCCATGAAAAGTTAAGGCATCAAAGAATGAAGTGAAGGAGACACACCCTGCAAAGTTGCACTGTGGCACGCCGTAATACTTCCTTGCTCTTGCGCTGAGCCCTACACGGTGGCGATGTATCCACTTTACGCCCCAGGCGAGACAAAATTTACGTCCCAAGCGAAACCAAATTTACGCCCCAAGCGAGCCAAAATTTACGCCCTAAGCGAACCCCCGCCCTGAAATGTCCCCATGCAGCTTCAGCGTGCTCCCAGATCACAAAACTCTGTGCCAGCTCCCAAAACCTGTTTCTACAGCATCTCGAAACCAACTTTACCACCATTCTAATCCATGTTAGGTGCTTCTTGAGCATCGCCAAATCTGGGAGGCCAGGCAGCAGCAAGAACTCCTACGTTGCTCCAACAATGGCTGCGGACACACCCCTTCCAGCCCTCTTAAAAAAGAGGGTCGGCGGCACCCGTTAGCCCATTCTATTCTCGAGGGAAGTACTGCTCTCGAACCCGGTTCTGGATTTGGGCTCCTACTCCCGGCATGACTGCAGCGATGCTACGGAACAACTAGTTCAATCGATTTACCTCAGCTTGGCCACACATAAAGCAATTCTTTGCAAATACGTTTGAACATGTTATCCGCCGACCCCTGCCTACCTGTGGCTTAGGCGGGGCGGCGCCCGGGATCACCGCAGGTGTGGGACATCTCCAAACCCTTTCCGTACCAGGGCCTCCTTTCAAATACCCTCAAACTGTTTCTATAGGGTTTCGAAACTGCTATGTGGCACGTTTCAGCAACGCTTTACCCCGCAAACTTTCCGCAGCAGCTTTGCAGGCATTGTTGCCATGGCTTCACAGCTGCAACCACGGCGGAAGGACGCTGCCAAAACAAGCCGCTCACTGTTTTTATACAATTTCGAAACTGCTATATGGCGGGTCGTCAAACTGCCGTTGGGTACCTTTCATTCCGCCAAGGCTGCTCCCACGGACTCTACACTTTTGGTTTCACTGAGGGCACGGCCTTGCAACTGCCGTTGGGCACCTTTCGTTCTCTGAGGGCACTGCTGGGCCCAAAGAGTCTATCTGATAGTCTATCTGTTACGGGTCCTGAAACTTCCATTGGCCACATTTCGTTCCGCTGAGGCACGGCCTGGCCCACGGACTGTACGCTTTGTTCCTCTCTCTTGGCTACCGGTCCTGAAACTGCCTTTGGCCTTTTTGTTCCACTGAGGGCAAGCCGAGCCCAAGGAGTCTATCTGTTGCGGGTCTTGAAACTGTCGCTGGGCACCTTTCGTTCCGCTGCGGACAAGGCCGGACCCACGGACTCTACACTTTTCGTTCCACTGATCTGATGATCCGCAATAGAATGGTAAAGAAACTGACGAGAAAATAAATAGGACTGTTCCTTCGGTATCTTGTAGGATCCATCAAAAAAATATTACGTGATATTCCTATATGTTGCGTTGCCACCTCTTTCAGGGCACCAATCACCTGCAAAACATCTTTCCAAATGTGTCCTTTTCTGCTTTCACTTGTGTAGTAAAGCTCTCTCCGCATGCTGGTCATGAATGCTCTGGTTGTTTGATGTTCTGAGCCAGCACACTGTCACCAAACCATGACCAAAACTTCTTCGGTAATCCATGCCCCCCCCTTTACATGGGGGTCGGCGGATGATGGCGTTAGCCCTTTTATTTTCCAACAGACCCCGGAACAAAGCCCTTCGAAAACTCGGTTCAAAACTGGTGAAACTGGTGACCCGGCCGAACCCAATTGTGACGCCCGCCTAGGCAGGAGCGCTTTTTGCAAGAGCGCAAGCCGCTTGGATCTTGAGCTGCTGGGAGTGCATTGGCACTTGGAACTTCCTCTCGAACCCTGGTTGTGGGAGCTACATGTGTAGTCGTAGTCAAGGAAGTCTCGAGATGTGGTGGAGGAACTGGAAGTGCTGGTGCTGATGGCGCTGATGGTGGACGTGGTGGACGTGGTGGACGTGGTGGGGGCACAGGTGGTGGAGGCACAGGTGATCCTCTTATCGCGTCCTTGGCACTGGCCAGGCTGGATGGCCTTTGCCGCGCAAGTCCCTCAAGCGAACTTTGTCGCAGAAGAGTGTCGTGCCGAAGCAGGAAACCACGCAGGCCAAACATGGTGATGCATCCTCCAAGCAGCAGCCCAGCAGCGAAGGACGCCACTGCCGAATGCATGGGTCACACACGCAAACACGAGTACAGAGCTATCGCCTTGTCAGTGCTACTTGCCACAATGTCTCTTATAAAAGGTCAAGTCTATGGTTCATTGGATTTCCACAGTTCCAAATGCAAACATATTGCGTGACAGAGACTTTGGCGTACACCTGTTCCGAATTGCAAATTCAAATTGTTTGTCATGCATCACTTCATGGCACTCATCCCAACTCGAGCTCCAAAAACATTCGGACGTGCAAGGAAGATCCTTTCATTACAAATTTCAGAACAATGATGATGCACCATAGTTCTCGCGCGTGAGTTGCCGAAGTAAAAAAAAAATATGCGCTGTTTTTCTACAAATGTCTACAAGCGGCAAATGCTTGATTTCACCTCCTACAGTAATTTTCATCTTAAGCAAATTTATGGCGCAGAAAATCCTGGCTGCCCCCCATGAGCTTGACACTCGCAATCTCGACATGCAAAGGGGCATCACTCTCATCAGTCTCTTTGCCCACTCAAGGAACCGCAAAGGCCATCTTGACGAGATGTTGTGACTAAAAGTGGGTAGAGCTGGAAGCTTGTTTTCCTTCACGGTGTTTTATGTGTTTTGCTTTCGCACTCCATGACCATGGCCATCCCTGCCAAACTTCAAATAGCACTCATTTCTCTTCCTGGAGTGCAAGGGATTCTGCTGCAGAAGTCAGTCCCAGCGGCGCAGAATGGACTTTGGTTACAAGCGTTAAACGTCGCTAGTGCTGTGCTTGAGAGAGGTGGTCGAAATTATGGGCACGGTACTGTACACATGTCTGTCTTGTCAGTTTGTGCCAATCCCCTTTTCAGGGCCGTGCTGTAAATGTTGCGCAGCAGTGTATCCTGGGTGTGAACGAGTTACATGACCGTCACAGCGCCTGCAGGTTCTGTCGTAGTTGTTGGAAGCGCGAGGTAGTTCTACAAGCGTGTTATGTATGAGTGTTCTACAAGAGCGGTCCAAAAGAGTGCTGCAAAAGGGCGGTTCAAACGAATGCTCTAAACACGCCGTTCTATGAGAATGTTGCAGGAATCCTCCACAAGGGTAGTCATGAAGAGGTGTTCTGCAAGAGCTTGTCAACAAAAGCAGAGAGACGGGCACATGAGGCTCCTGCCTGCCATCCCTGTGGCCGTAAGTCTTCTGCCTACCGGGCCTACCGTTTCCTTGGGCATTTGGCTGCAACATACTGCAACAGGCAAGGCCAAGGGATTGCCGAGGGATGGGAGGAGGTTGAAAACAAACCATGTCGGATGAACTTTTGATCAAACGCCGACATCCGAGTCATCATACAAAAAAGATCCAAAATAACGGACATAATTGAATCATGGCTGGTTGGGACCACAAGACACTTGATCAAAGGAATCTAGGCGCATGAGGCAGCTGCTTGTATTGCTTTCGCGATAGATTTCAAAAGCTCCATCGTAAACCTCGTTATGTCGCGCTACCTTCTGCTCGCGTTTGATTTTCAACACCTTGCGAAACGCGGGGCGCCATTCTCCAATATCATTGACAAAGAGCAGTCCGCCGCATTCGAGGAGGGCCAGCATGCCACTTATGAAGCCATCGTGCTCCTCTATTGTTCCCATGTCATGTACTGTACACCTGCCCACTGGTAAATCAAATCAAACTTGCAGGAAGCACATACAGGCAAAGGCTTCAGCCAATTGTGCTGGAAGGAAATCGAACCTCGCTCCGCACAGATCCGGAGCATAGAACAATCGTAAGCGCCAAAAGCCAAGAAATTGTGAACAGTCTTGAAGTATCCCTTGCGCCGGAGTTCACCCTCCAAAGAACATCTTCCTGCCCCTGCATCGAGAATTCGCTTGTACTTTCCAAATTTCACGGCCAATTCCAAAGGGAACGGCAACTTGAAAGGATTTGAGTTAACATAGGCAGCATTGTAGGAGTTGGTGTTCGATTGGGAATATTTGTCAGTCCACTCCCCACGTTCGTCTTCTTGCTTAGTCTTCAACACATTTGGCCGGTACCAGTGTATCAGGCGTTGGTTTTCGAAGCTTTCCGCCGCTTTTGGCTTAAACCTTTTCGCAATAACCGGCTGGAAAATCGATTTGAAGTCAGGTTGTACCCATGCTTGACATTGATTTTCCGGAGAAAGCTCGATGAAACGCCTGCCAAACAAATCTGCCATTCCACAGTTTTTGCAGATTGGCAGGTCTGGCACCACTCCCATCCGACGCACAAATGAACGGGGATAGGAACCAGCCAAAACAAGTCTAGCTGCCTGTGGGCTGAAGTCTGATATGTTGAAACCATCAGCGCCCAAAACGAACAGTGCTCCTTGTTGTGCCAAAGCCAAAATGCGCACTGCTTTCGATTATCACACCACCAAGTAAAGTTTCTGGAAAGGAGCTTACATCAAGCACGACGATGTCTGATGCAAAGTCAACAAACGGAAGATTCTGAAACCGGTCCAGTCCGTACAACAGACTGTTTGCCCCACCCTCGAAAAGGGTCTGTGCATCCTTGTCCTCTGTGACGATGTACAGCGGAAAAAAGCCCGGACCGTGAAAAACAGGCAGCCGTTCACCGCCCGTCGCCAACAGAATCACGGATCTGTGGATTGCAGAAATATCGCCACCTTGCAGTTCGTGAGCCTATCAGAACGGGCAGAACCCCTCCCTCCGCAGGACCCTTCAGTTCAGCGTCTAGACATCCAAACATTTTTGGGGTGGACTATTGTACGTACTGTATCTTTTATGTTGCTTGAGAATGTTAGATTGCCAGAATGTTTACCACAATCTTCGTAATCTTCCCAGCTCAAATAAATTGAGGAGAAAGCACCGTGCACAAGTACAGTACTGGAAGCAGCTTCGGTTGTTTTTGAAAGCCAGGCCCATTCTCCGTCTGCAATTTTCCCCCCAGGTTAGAAAGATGTGTGGCAGAAAGCATCAGACTTGCACCAAAACCGAGATTCGGAGGAGGACAAACTAATTGGTGACGCATATGTTCCTTAGTCCTTCAGAGTGAGATGGAGTTGAAGGTGGTGTTGAGATCATGAATGTGAGAATGCTGCTGGTAGGCTGGTACCTTTCTTCGGTTCGCATTTGAAACTCCAATGCAATTTCCTCGCTGTATTGAACGGATGCTTTATATAATATATTCAAACTATCTGAAACTTGTTTGTGTATCGCCAGGGACCGTGCCGACATGCTTTTTGTTTTCACTCGAACTTGCAAACTCATTTGATACACATGGCCCAAGACCAAAGTTCTCAATGGGAAAAAAAAACACACACACACCAACGGAGAAACAAAACCTGAGAAGGGGTGGAACGAAAGCCAGCAGGTCTGTAAATTGCTATATTTTTGTCCACCGATTTCCAACACTTTTCCTCTTTTTTAACGTCGTTTTCGCAGATTTTCCTGCGCGCCACTGGTCTTTCCATCGTTTCCGCTCGTTGACATTGTCTTTGTTTTCACTATATTTTTAAAGCATTTTTAGTTATAACATTTTCCTAGGTTTTCACTGTATTTTTCTAACATGTCACATGCCTCCTAGCATGTTCACGCGTGTCCTCCATGTTGTACTGTTTTCTACATCGTTTCCTCTAGTTGTTACAAGCATTTCCTAGCTTGTACACCGTTTTCCTAATATTCTCACAACTGTTCTTCCAGTTTCCACTGCTTTTTCTACCGTTTCCTGTGGTTACTTTCTTCTCTTTTGTAGGTTTTCACTGTGCTTTGTCCAGTTTTTTTTATTACATGCTTCCTACCATTTTCACCGCTTTCCTCTATTGTTTTTTGTACCATTTCCTCTCGTTTCCTGCATTTCATGCATTTTCAATATATTTTTCCAAGAGTTTTACCCGCCTCCTTCAGTTTCCGATCGTTTTTGCACCATTTCCTCTGGTTTGCTGCATTTTCAATATATTTTTCCAAGAGTTTTACCCGTCTCCTTCAGTTTCCGATCGTTTTTGCACCATTTCCTCTGGTTGTTATCGCATTTTCCTGCACTTTCACTGTCTTTTTCCAGCATGTTTACTGCATCGTCATAGTTTGTTCCTAGCAGTCGCTCCGGTTTCCTCCATGTTCCAACAGATTTTGCATGGTTTGTTCCTAGCATTTTCCTCTGATCGTTATCCTGCTTTCCTCAAGTTTCATTGTATTTTCCAATACATCCTCTTCGTGGGTTTTCAATATGTTTTGTCCAGCATTTTTTTACTACATGTTTCCTATCATTTTCACCTCTTTCCTCCAATAGGTTTTTGCACCATTTCCTCTGGTTTCCTGCATTTTCATACCTTTTCAATATTAATATTAATCCAAGAGTTTTACCTGTCTCCTTCATTTTCCGATCCTTTTTGCACCATTTCCTATCGTTGTTATCACATTTTCCTGCACTTTCACTGTATTTTTCCAGCATGTTTACTGCATCGTCATGGTTTGCACCTAGCATTCGCCGGTTTCCTCCATTTTCCAAGGGATTTTCCATGGTTTGTTCCTAGCATTCGCTCCGTTTTCGTCCGTTTTCCAGGGGATTTTGTACGGTTTTCTCTGATCGTTATCATGTTTCCCTGCAGTTTCATTGTATTTTCCAATACATCCTCATGGTCTCTCCGGCCACCAAAAAGGCGGACCTAGGGGGCAAAACATCACGATTGTCGCAAATGGTGTCATACGTGCTGAACGTATCAACGGACTTGACAGACCCTGAACCCCAGAGCCCCAAAGTCCTTCCGGCCAAACCAACAAGAGAAAGCTTTCACAAAGCAAACACACCCAAGTCCCGCAAGAAAGAAATTCTCTCAGGCCAATGTTCCCTTGTAATCCCTTGAATGGCCCAAACATGAATCTCATACTCTTGCCCTATGTCATACTGAAGCCACTCCCAACTTCCGTTCGAAACTGGTGAAACTGAACCCGGCCGAACCCAATTGTGACGCCCGCCTAGGCAGGAGCGCTTTTTGCAAGAGCGCAAGCTGCTTGGATCTTGAGCTGCTGGGAGTGCATTGGCACTTGGAACTTCCTCTCGAACCCTGGTTGTGGGAGCTACATGTGTAGTCGTAGTCAAGGAAGTCTCGAGATGTGGTGGAGGAACTGGAAGTGCTGGTGCTGATGGCGCTGATGGTGGACGTGGTGGACGTGGTGGACGTGGTGGGGGCACAGGTGGTGGAGGCACAGGTGATCCTCTTATCGCGTCCTTGGCACTGGCCAGGCTGGATGGCCTTTGCCGCGCAAGTCCCTCAAGCGAACTTTGTCGCAGAAGAGTGTCATGCCGAAGCAGGAAACCACGCAGGCCAAACATGGTGATGCATCCTCCAAGCAGCAGCCCAGCAGCGGAGGCCCCAGCCGCGGAAAGCATGGGCACCCAGGTACAGACCGACAGACACCACATACACATGCAACTCAGTGAAAATTGATGTTGCTCAATAGCCCATACCTCTGATATTCAAGATTCGGGACTATTGCAGCAATCTAACAGCCAGAGTCTTGCACTGTCATGCAAAGAGAAGGTGCTCTTTGGCACAAGCAAAATTGTTCTGAACTTCAGATTGCTTGTCACCGGTCACTGTCATTATCCTCATTGGCACGTGAGCTCACAGCTATTATTCGGATTTAGATGATTTTGTTTAAAAAAAACACTCCGGTTTCTCGCGCATGGAACAAGCAAACTCCTTTGGCACTGATTCCTGGTTTATCAAGGTTATGACTTCTATTAGTAACACGGGCTGTGTAAATGTTGTCGAATTCATTTCTTTCCCGCAGTGAACCTTTCATGTTCAAACATGTTCAAACCGCAACTCTGCAAGAAAGAGTGTCTGGATCTACATGGCAACGTTTTGATCTGCACGATCGATCCTCGAGTCAGGCACAAGCTTTGGCGCCCAGCAATCATTGACACCCACCATCTTGCCACGCAAACGAGCATCACTCTCTTTGTATAACAATCATAGCAAGAAAGAAAAAGAAAAAAATACAATTGAATAACTTGAATGCAGCCCAGTGGTGGCTTTTCTTCCTCTTCAATATTCACTGCATAGCATGAAGTCTTGTGCCTCTACCGTGTCCAAGGAAACAGCAAAGCTTGATGAACTGCCTACAATATCTACAATCTTCCAACAGGTCTAATTTACAATCCTGGAATCCCTCCAAAAATGAAATGGGCGGTCCTCCAAAAACTCTTTTCCAATCCGTTCCAGAAGCATACGTTCATTCTCCTTCTTCGATGTCGAACTGGAATAGTTTGCAAGATTTTGCAAGACTACGGATTTGACACAGATCTGATTCATCTTCAGTTAGAGGGTCGGGTTCATCAGAAATGGTGAAAGGTAAAAAAAAAAAACAGGCCATAGATTTGGTGATGCTCCCATGCACCGCTGAGGTGACGTTGCACCAGTGCCACTCTGCTGGCTCATGAGACTCATGAGACTCATGAGACTCATGAGACTCATGTAATGTATGTAGATGTGTAGGTTTAATATAAATAATAGCTATTATATAGCTATCTATAATAGCTATATCTTTATATTTATGCAGAAAGATCACGAAGTTTCTGGGAAACGCGTGGTTTATGTTGGGAAAACCTTCTGCCACAAGAATGGAACCACGTGCCTGCGAAAGAGTACCTAGGGCCTGCTTCTATTGACTACAAAGAGTTGTCAGAAGCTTCGGAACAACATGAGGTGCCTTCATTGGACCGAGCACAAAAGGGTACCTCATTCACAATAATCCCCGAGGTCCCTGCAGTTGGACTGGTGCTAAGATTCTTGCGACTTCGATACACATTGTTTGCACGAATGTGATTGTATGTGTGCAAGTGCTTGTGTCAGAAAATGCCAATAGAGTCAATTGCAAACAGCCACAAGGTGGTAGACAATCCCCGCTCTCAGTTGGAACTGACGTCCATGATGTCAGACCTGCTCTGTGCTCTCCGTGTGGTAATCTGACCATCAAGAATGTACAAAGGTTTGAAAGATCGAGGGATCTTACATCTTGCGGTGTTCATGACATGAAAACGGTGAAAACTATATTTCTGCATGCATTGACTATAGTGACTATTCGGTCACTACATGGATGTGTATGAGTCGTTCTGGGCGAGACTCAAAACAAGGTGGTGCTTTGAAGATTCTAGACCAATGACAATGACTGAGGGCCCCGGGTAATGACTTCACAGCTGAGAACTCCTAGAAGTCTGGGCACCATGAATGCTATAACCACCGGCTCTCCAAGGGTTGGCATATCACGGCATCTCTCTCCGGGGGGCGGTGAAAAGTTACGGTAAGGCCAAGGAAAATAAACACATGCCCATCTGATGGTTCTGCACTCCACCTTGCATTGTTGTCAAGGTGAAACCTACAAAAAAAGAACGTTATATCCAGATCAGAGTAGGAAACCGGAGCGTATGAGTTGGAATGGCTAACGTTACAAGCGAAGCAGGGTGAATACATGCTAGCACTTAAGAAAGCATGGAAACATGTTCAAAGGCAATGAGTGCCAGAATGTGCCAGAGTTCCATGCCAAACGCAATTATAGACTGATATACATCGATTATCTGTTTCTTTTTCTACATTCTTCGCATCTAAATCATCTAATGAGCTGGGTCTTGATCGGTACTTGGCCCAGTATTCACCACTTCTGTGCCGCAGCTTTTCCGCAGATTGCTCTGCCGTCAGCTGTTGGATCTGGGAGGGAACGACATATCGTGGTAGGTACCTGGCACAAGGTCCAGGGAATCCAAGAGAAATCCATGGCAGGTTGTCCCAAGGGAGTCCCTTGAGTTCAACAGCATGTTCAATGGAATTCACATGAATTCACCGGAATTCACTGAAATTTCATGGAATTCGATGGAATGCAATGGAATTCTGAGCAAGGGACCGTTGAAGATCTGATACGTGCTCTCCATGGGGACACCCTCAGGATCACCAGATCACCAGTTTTGCTCAGCCAAGCGTTTGTTGCTAAGGCTTCTAAGGCAGCAACTGCCATCACCGCTTCGCCAGCAAGCGCATCTGGGCCTAGTGCACATTGTCACGACACGACCGCCAGGCAGAATTCGAAAATGCATAAAGATAGCTCGTTGTTAGCAACTTGATCATAATGTGAATGTGATTGATATATGTAGCAATATGTAGCCATCCATGACAAAGAGGGAAACCCGAGTGTGTCTGGAAGTCCCCAGAGGACACCGAGGACGTGAAGCAAGATCTTCCGGACTTGGCGACCGACTTGGAAGAGCACCATAGAGGTGATTGTAGGGGTTGAGGTGCTTGGCCAAAATGTGGGTCTGCCAGCACTGCCAGCATTCCAAATGCTGAATTGGAGGGGAAAATGATGGAAAATGACTGTTCAGGAATGTTTAGAAAATTAAATTCCAGGAATTGCTGGAGGTCCTAAATTCATCCCCACGGAATTTCCATCAAGCCGGTACAGTCGGTTACAGTACCTACGATTTTTTCTCATGAGTTCTCATGTTGGGCTGCATATTGAGGCAAATGAGCTTATTAGTGCAGTCAGAAGCATTTTCTTTTAATTGTCTTGACCAGCACTACTTGCTCTTGGTATCTGTGATGAGGGCATGCCTTTCATGCTTCATCGCTTTCTAAGATCCTCAGGGCATCAGGCAGGGTCCTAAAAGTACCAAGCCAAGTCAACTGGATGCTGGGTGAAGCCCAACGAAGTGCCCTTCGAGGTATCTGAAAAAGTCCCCTGAAACTGGTGTAATGTCGTGGCCTCTGCTCTTGAGTAGAGGTCTTCGAACGGTTTGGTGGGAACTGACACCATGGCGTCCTGCAAAAGCAGCACAGATCGGTCGAATTTGGAATGTTTTTTGAAAGGTTTGTTCGCCTCGCAGTAGCAGTGCAGAATGAAGAGGCAATATCCTGCCAGCTGTGCGTGGATGACACAACTTATTACTTACACACCTTGTGTAGCCCATCAAGAACCAACAACAGGGAAACATATGCCGAACAAGATGAGAACATCTCCGGTCTTGAAATATATGGAACATAAAGCTCATGTGAGGACAGCATGTTGGAGTCACAACCCGAGCGCACCCTCAATCACAATGACCATGAGCAGGGCTATTATCCACAGCGACCGCTCGACGCCGCAAGCCTCTCAACAGGAGTGCAGAAGCAAATGAGTACAAATCAAGTAGGACTAACGGACTAACTGGGATTTCTACATATTCCGTGATTGCTGCCACTCCAATTGCTTTGCAGAATCTTCAAATCTTGACATCGCAGATCATCTAAGCTTGCAGCGAAGGGGTGGACAGCCCCGGAGGCAAGATTCGCAGGAATGTCATCGCAGCTCGCCTCAGCAATGGACAAAGATTTTTTGACTCAATTTGAGACAGATTTTGAGACAGACTTCCAGGATTTCCAAGGCAGCAGCGTGAATAAGGCTTTCCCACAAAACTCCGCCTGTCATGGAATGTATTTGCACAAGCACGGCGAATCAATGGCAAGTGTCGCCGACTTGTTCTGGCTTTCCTACATCACAATATCAGATTGGGGTCGGGACTCACGTCAAGTACAAATTGCAGGACAAAGAAGTACCTGGCGGGGAGAATTCTGCGGGCTTCAAAGTTGCACACATGCTACGGAAATGAGCCAGAGTACATTCAAATGTCAGGTCAGCCATGGGATTGAGTTTAAGCACTCGTATGTGGAACTTGTGACACTATCAGCCATGCTCAGTCTGGAGTCATGACCGTGCACAAAAAGATCGTAAATGACATACATGATGACATGATATGAAATAATTAAGTATTTAACGGCTAGTTAGTTGGGAGCACAAGACACTTGATCGAAGAGGTCAAGGCACATGAGGCCGCTGCTTTCTCTTTTTTTCATAGTCAGCAAGTGCGATAGATTTCAAAAGCTCCATCCTTGTTTTCGTCATGTCGCGCTACCTTCTGCTCACGTTTGATTTTCAACACCTTGCGAAACGCGGGGCGCCACTCTCCAATATCATTGACAAAGAGCAGTCCACCGCATTCGAGGAGGGCCAACATGCCACTTATGAAGCCATCGTGCTCCTCTACAGTGTGCATGTGATGTACACCTGCCCACTGATAAATCAAATCAAACTTGCAGGAAGCACATACAGGCAAAGGCTTCAGCCAATTGTGCTGGAAGGAAATCGAACCTCGCTCTGCACAAATGCGGAGCATAGAACAATCGTAAGCGCCAAAAGCCAAGAAATTGTGAACAGTCTTGAAATATCCCTTGCGCCGGAGTTCACCCTCCAAAGAACATGTTCCTGCCCCTGCATCGAGAATTCGCTTGTACTTTCCAGATCTCACCTTATCGTCCAAACGTGGCGGCATCTTGAAAGGATCTGGATTCACATAAGCAGCCTTGTATTGTTTGCTGTTCGTTCGGGCATATTTGTCGCTCCACTGCCCTTTCTTGTCGTCTGGTTTCGTCTTCAGCACATTCGGCCGGTACCAGTGTATCAGGCGCTGGTTTTCGAAGCTTTCCGCCGCTTTGGGCTTAAACCTTTTCGCAATATCCGGCTGGAAAATTGATTTGAAGTCAGGTTTTACCCATGCTTGACATTGATTTTCCGGAGAAAGCTCAATAGCACGGTTGCCAAAAAAATCTGCCATTCCACAGTCTTTGCAGATTGGCAGGTCTGGCACCACTCCCATCCGACGCACAAATGAATGGGCATAGAAACCAGCCAAAACCAGTTTAGCTGCCTGTGGGCTAAAGTCTGATATGTCGAAATCAGCAGCGCCCAAAACGAACAGTACCCCTTGTTGTGCCAAAATGCGCACTGCTTCGGTTACCACACCACCAAGTAAAGTCTTTGGAAAGGAGCTTACATCAAGCACGACGATGTCTGATGCAAAATCAACAAACGGAAGATCCTGAAACCGGTCCAGTCCGTACAACAGACTGTTTGCCCCACCCTCGAAAAGGGTCTGTGCATCCTTGTCCTCTGTGACGATGTACAGCGGGAAAAAGCCCGGGCCGTGAAAAACAGGCAGCCGTTCACCGCCCGTCGCCAACAGAATCACGGATCTGTGAATTTGCGATATGTCGCCACCTGCAGTTCGTGAGCCTATCAGAACGGGCAGAACCCCTCCCTCCGCAGGACCCTTCAGTTCAGCGTCTAGACATCCAAACATTTTTGGGGTGGACTATTGTACGCATTGTATCATATGTGTCCAGCGTCTAATTTGTTGATGGGCCTGTCAGGCTCGTATATGCACCCATTGGAAGTCGAGAAATTGGCAAGAAAATTCTCCCCGTATTGGTGGCAACCAAGGTCTGTTCCTTCGGTGGTCCATCTGTGAAGGGATTTTCTCTATCCAAAGTCTCCAAGCTTGAACACTAATGAAACTCTAATGAACACTACATCCGCATCTGTACAGCCACGTCTGATATTTGGTTCTCGCAATCATGGATCCCTACAAGATGGTTTATAAACCCCATTAACTATAAATTATAGGTACCATAAACCATAGTTATTGGAGTTATAAACCAACTTAGCGATCTAGGGGGCCCCACTTTGTAATAATCTTCTTCGTTGCTTTTTAGCACAAGCCCTGCTTGTAGGTTCTGACAAACAACTTGTGTTTCCTTGGAATATGTTGGCAGTCTCCTAGTCCTTCCAGTTCGAATCCTGGCATCGCTCACCGTGGAAACGCTATAGGAATGCGGGACAAACAGCAAGATGTTAACATGTCTCACACAGCCTTACACTGGAAGTCAAACTTGAGGCATCTTGAGGCAAAAGGGTAAGGGACGAAAGCTGGCTGCGAAGGTAAAGGAGGAAGGTATGGTGAAAGAGCGGTGTGTGAGGAATTGGCAGATACTAAGTGGAGAGTAAGTCTGATGATGCTGATTGCGATGATATGGCAACAATGTCCCAGGGGATTGAGCAACGGCAAAACTGCTTCCAAGAAAGGCCGGGGGAGGCGGGGCGTAGTTGACTGTGAAGTTTCACGTGATTGGCGATTCCAGCCCCCACTGGCAAAACTTAGTTTTCGTGGCAATGACAATGAATCTTTGTTTTTGTGTATTCTAAGATATATTGTGTTCTTCATTTTGCCGGTTGTTTCATTGTTTCCTGGAAAAGCTCAACAGTTCACAGAACAGCAGGAGCAGGCAAACGAGCAGGATGATGAAGGCCCAATAAAGGCCGCGTCCAGAGCAGGAACTGATGCTAGCTCCAGAATCCAATTTATTCTGGAGCTCAATAGTGGAGACATCAAACAAACACGAAACAGCATGAAACAGCAGACAACGCAGGAAAAATAAGCATGGTATTGATATTTGGAATCAAAGATAGGTCTCTCAAGATTAAAAAAGGATAAGACTCAAGACCGAAAAGAAAAGTATAGAAAAGATTAGAAAAGTAGTGTATACAGTGCAGCCCATACTTGTCATTTCCTGAAATTGAAGATACTGAAGATTTCTCTTACCTCCCCCAAACTTGAATCCAGCCAAACCCACTTGCGACACCCGCCTAAGCAGGAGCGCGTTGTACAGGAGCGCAAGCCGCTTGGATCTTGACGAATCTGAGGCGAAGGTGAAGGCGGTGAAGGTATCGGCGGGTGTGATCCTCTTGACGCAGGCGGATCGCCGGAAGATCCGGAAGGCCTTGTGGCCGGCGGACGCACTCCTGGTGTGTTGGCTGACAGCGTCGCAGGCCTCTCATACGAACTTTGTCGCAGAAGAGTGTCGCGGCGAAACAAGGAGCCACGGAGACCAAAGACGATGATGCATCCTCCAAGCAGCAGCCCAGCAGCAAAGGATACCACGGCCGCAAAATGCATAGGTACCGATAGAAACAAATACCATCAAATACCACTCAATGTTTTGCAAAGCTGGCTTCCTATCCTTGATATGGATTTGTCGACTGTTGTATCAACCAGCCCCCAGTGCTACCTTGTGTTCCAGATTGACAGGCATGGGTTCTCATGTTTATGTGTGTGTGTGTGCCGGTGCATACAATGTGGGGCCCCCAGTTATAAGATGGTTTATAAACCCCATTAACTATAGTTATAGGTACCATAAACCATAGTTATTGGAGTTATAAACCAACTTAGCTAACTATGGGGTACCACCTTGTACAGTCCCTTGATTTTCGCGGTGGTCCGACCCTCAGCAGGTGATCCAGAAACCAACACCATAGAAACCCACAACTGCCGATACTAAGTCACAGTGCGTCTTTCAGGGGTGTTGCTTCCGGGTTTCTGAGTTGTGAACCAAGAATCATTTCAATGATAAACTCGGTGAATGCTTGGTGCGGAGAAAGAAGCAAAAAGCTTCGTCAGCTCTGAGCCTTCGCACGGCTAAAGCGGTCCAAGGTCAAGTACTTGGAAGGCCTCTTGATAGCCTAGATGCCCAAACATCCTGCAAATGGGGCATTGCCGAAAAGTTCCCAATCTGCCAGAGATGAAGTCATCTGGAAAGGGAATGGATACAGCATGATTATGTTTGATATGTTCAAAGATCTTGAGTTTGTGCCTGTTGAATCTGACCAGTGGGTTCATGCTATTCAAATGGTCAATTTTTGCTGGACGTGACTAGCTACAGTGCAAGCACTATTTCCAGGATGTGAGCTGGGACCAGCAACGAGCTTTGTAGTCTGTGGAGTTTCTTTTCATGTGTGCGCTTCACGGGACATTTATGTTCAAGGCAACTTGAATGTGTGCGCCCTGGCAGCAGCACTACTTGGGATGCACCACCCTTTTCCTCGCAATTGCCCAGAAGTCAGACTTCTTGAAGCTCTGAGCGAATGCGATGGCCTAAAGGGGCTGCAGATTTCCCACATCCCGCCTCGCATTTTTGGTCTCGCAACCTGTGAACAGGGCCGGCAACTGAAAAGGTTCAGGTCGATGCATTCGTGTGAGAAGAAAATGCAAACAACCTGCGAAGCAAATGCAAGTGACGTTACTTTCAACTTGTCAAATACACTTTAGATCTTGAGACATCCGAGCAGCTGGCTATGCTTGGCTGTCACCATTTGGCTTGTTGCCCAGGCTATTCTGCCGGAGGACTATGCCGATGGAGCCTCAGTATGGGAACTGCGAGCATCCGAGTCCTCTGTACTTGCACCGCAAAGCTGGTTGCCTCAAGTATTCTAAAGTTCAAGCTTCACAGATTCTTCTTAGTACGAAGATGGATGCATACAGTACTCTTTCAGGAGGGCAGTGAATGGCAAAATGATTGTCACATACCAAGTCACCTTCGGAACGCGCAACGTCACAGGTTACTCCTGTGAAGATTGGTCCAATGGTCGATTACGCCAACTGAGAATTGGTCCAAGTGTGTTTAAGACCAAAGCAGCACGTCAGAGACATTGTTATATCCGACATGTTGATATCCCATCTTTTGTATGCTTGCTAGTGTTATCTGTATCTATCTGCTGACTTCACGACTCGTTGAAGCGTCCTGCTTGCACGATGCAACAGCAACCCTCGTTGAGCGCCAACGTCCCAGAAGGGACAGCAATGTGCACAGTGCCCTTGATCTGGTAGAACCAGGTCCTCGAATTCAATGCTTCATGTTGTTTCATGTTGTTTCCATGTTTAATTTTAGTTTCAAGTTTCACTCAAGTGCTGTGTAAAAATGTTTCTGACCACCAGGAGCCCAGCTCCAGCTGCGACTGCTGCCCTGTCTGTTCCGATCTCCCACCAATGACCAGTACTTCAAACTCCTCGAGTTGAGAACACAAGTTGCCGTCTGGGTCACTGAGATGCTGAGAATATTTCAGGAAATCAGACATCAGTTGAAATCTTGGCTTTAAATTTTGGACATCAAATCGGTCAAAAACGAAAATCACTCCATTCTGTCCTTGTCTGGATGATCAAAGCCCAGGAGATTGATCGATTCTCCAGCTGCGAGTTTCTCGGCATTGGCCTTCAGGAAGTCCTGGCTCCACACATCACTCAGAAGCCTCACCCGGGAACCTGGAAAAGTCAGTGCCGAATGATTCTAATAGCACTGTCATGTTACGGTGTGTACAATCCCCAGCAATTGAAAGATTAGATTTGAATGGCACACTTCCGGGAGACCAAGCCAAAACATCTAATCTATGGTACGCAGTACCTATTATGCACAAGAAGTCCTATGAAGGAAGTTTCGTGTTTTGTTACTTCAGATTGTGTTCCGCTCGGGCGGCAAAAGATATTGGAAAAAGGCACTGTGTCGATCTTGACATTGCATGCAAGGGCTGAAGTATCAACACGTGACTTCATAATACCTCAACAACTGTTGCACAGCTTCACAGCGGCAACACCTAATGGCGATGATCCTATTCTGGTGCTTCCTTACACCCTAACACATCTATCATGATCCTCTTTAAGTATCTTTAAGTATCAATACTTCAGGCTTTGACTCTAGATGACATCTTCACTCGACCCTCTGCCAAGGCAACGGGAAAATGCAACTGTCATTCACTCAGCTCTTTGAAGAATTCCAGCCCTTTGTGCAACCATCAACCACCCAGCTCCTGCAATGAGAAGGGCTCCGGAACCTCAGTCTCCTTATCCTGTTTCACCTCGCCACAGAACGGGAGCAGCGAGCTGGACAACGAGATGTGGCTTTTAGGAATGCAGCCACGCACATGAGGCTGGCGTCCCAGCATCAATTCCAAGAGATGTAGGAAAGTGATGACCCCATGTTGACATATCGGAACCATTCGGAACCAGTCCGAACTTTTACGCAAATTCTTTGGAGCCAGAGGCACTGGTCGGTCCTCCTCCTTAAATTCTTTTGGCACAGCACCAGCATCCTCCCAGGCCTTGTAGGCCTCCCACAAAGAACAAACCAATTTGACTCACTGGCCAGTTTGTATTGTAGGTGAATCACTAAATCATGATCTCAGGAGCCACTCAGAGCATGGAGGGCCAAGAATCACAAAAACAAAAACCTGAACTGGAAACTGCCGCTGGAGTACAGTAGCCCAAAAGCAGAAAAATGATGAAAAATGCAGAAGCATTGTGACTTGAGGCCTGAGGGGGGTGAACGAAAGCTAAGGTTCATATGGGCCTGGAAACACGGTGGGATTTTGATGGGATTTGGATATGCTGAATACAGATTGCCTAGAGACCTGGCATGATTTGAGCCCGTGACCATCTGCTTCCAACACCGCCCAAAAATTTCCCCGGGAGCTTGGGGGTTGAGTGAAAAATCACTGTATTGGACTCGGACCTGCCCCTCTTGCAGCAAGAGTAACTCCTAGCTACCCGCTAGCTTTCGTGAACAATGTTTCCGAGGCCTCACCTTTATGACAGGAGGAAGGTCCTTTGCCAAATCTTCACAGCGGAAGAACTTCTCCCAGCGGACTTTCTTGCCTCAGTTTTCTGGAGCAGGTTTGGTTCTTGACTTTGCTTTGCCTAAAAGAATCACAGTACTATATAATGTCCCTGTCTCTCAAAACTGTTTTCTCGAGTGCTTTGTCTTGGCAGAAGGCAAGTATTGAAGTCTTCGTAGAAGATCAAGCCGTCAATCTCCTCCTGCCATTTCTAAGAGCAAGAAGAGTTGAAGCGAGTTGAGAAGAGGTGGGCAGAAACATGTTCAAGATGTTCAAGTTAGTTATAGACTCTCTGAAACAAACCTGCTTGAATGTTGGCTACAGTAGCTTCACTGGAGACAACCCAAAAAAAATGGAGCGGAAAACACCGTGCGGTAGAAGTTCAGGTGCAAGCTGTACCTTGCCCTCGCGCCGCCGCTCCACCACCAAGCCCAAGGAACCTTCCTGGACAATGGGAACATCCAAGGTACATCAATCCGTCAGGGTATTGTAATGTAGTATTGATATGTATTGTATATCTGTGGCATCAGTGGTGAACAACTCAGCACTTGAAAACCAAGCCTCAGGTCTCTGAGGCGAATGAGGGATGCGGGAAGACAGGCAAAATATTTGGCCCTGCTTGATCTTAACCTTGGACGGGATGATGACCATGACTTCTATCACTGTCTGCTTTTGATGAACCGGACTGCGCATGTCATGAGTGCACTGAAGATGTAATATGTTGAGCTTCTCACGAGCTTTCTGCTGCCTTTCTGGACAGTTGGCAGCTCCATGTTCCCCTTGAGCTGGAAGAAAAACTCGCTGCCTGTGGACGGAATGCTTGGAATACTTGGAATCCATATTCATATTCCTTAAAAACACACAACCAAGCAGCTGTAGGGCCCAGCCTTCTTCTAGATGAAAGTCCTTGCCTAGGAATCATTCGTTTGAGTTTGAGCTCCGTTGCAGCCCACCAGAAGCAGAAACTGCCCGAGACAGCTGCTCAACAAACCTTGCCGCTAAGGCAGCTGAGGCTCGGGTATTCGGACCGCCAACAAACCTTGGTTCTTTACGCTCGCTCAAGGAATAAATTGCTGCTGAAACAAACTGCTGCCCAGTGATTTCTTGCTCGCAACAGTAACGATTGGCTGCAAATCTGTGATTGTCTCCTGATCTTTCCGCACCTACCAACAATGAGAAGGTTGTTCTCTATTGCTTTTCAGATCCTCTACACGCTCGTGTAGCAAGGTCATCGCGCCAAGTGGATCCAAGTGGCATGATGCTTAGCTGCCCCTTGTGCATCAGCTTGTTGCAGACTGGTGGTTTGAACTGATCCTTGTTCTGCTCGTACCAATCCTTAGCGCGTCAGGTTCGCCACGAGGATCTGCGGCAACTGCAACGAAATATTGTGACTACTTCACTGATTTCTGGACTTGGCTCCCAGACTTCAATGTGATGAAGCCTGCGAGATGTGCTGCGCAAAAAGGAACCACAGGAACGATTCAAAACGAGACGTAAACTCATCTCAAACATTCTCAAAGTATCAGCTGCCGGGGTCCAAACGCACATATTCCGGAGGGGACCACCACACCATCAGTCCTCACACAACATGCGCATGAGTCACAGAGCAAGGTACAGAAATTGAGCTGAAAGTTTCTTTAACAATTACTCAAAGCTAGATAACCACCAATCGCAGCAGACTTCAGTGCCCTTCCTTGCCCGCTTGGCGGGAGGCTCAGCACTGGTATCTGGCATGGCTGGCATGGGAGCTGGTGCAGCCAACATGATGACAAGCTGTGGGATTTCACTTGAGCCAAAGTATACAGCGGCGAGAAGTTCAAAGTTTCAGCGCTTGCCGGCCACCAACCCTTTCATATCATGTTATGATGTTGTCTATGTCTTTTAAACATCTCTTGTGAATCGTACATATGATGTGCATCTATATACTCTATACATATCTCAGAGGATGTGAGTCAACAAAGCTATGACCGTCACAAAACGAAACATGTAGCTCGCTGCGCGCACCACGCAAGAAGCACAGCTTGGGGCATACGCACAGACACACCATAGATCCTCGGACAGCAAAAATTTCTCTAGGGCATCAGATATGGTCAGTGAAAGGCTGTACGGATCAAATTGCCAGATGGTCACTCATTCCAGGATCTTATAACTGCACAAAAGCACAATTTTCATGTGACAAAACGGTGAACAGAGGGCAGATGTGGGCCGATGTAGGCAGTAAGCCCCCCGCGCAAAAACGGTGAAGGTGGCTCCTGTCATGCTGAGCCCGGCAAGGAAAACCTTGTCCGCCAAGCTGCCCTGAATCTGCAGATACCTTAGGCCATCAAATGTTGCTTATGCCAAAGGCTTAAAGGTCCACAGAGAAATTTCCACCGCAGGTTCCAATTGGGATTTATGGTGACTTATAATCCTTTACAGTGAAGGGGCTTGAATCGGTGCTTCAGGGCACTAGTCCAGGAATTGACAAAGTCCAGGTGCAACTTTTTTTTCACCACCAGGTCTTCCGTTGGGAATTCTGAAAGACGGCATGAAAGCTACGCGACGCGCTGACTGCTTGGGCCAAGTTGCAATTCATTCTCTGTGTGCATCACTGCATCACATGCCATCAAGATGAAGACCAAACACCTTGAAAAATCCATCGTGACGAATACCGAAAGGCGATCATTCCCCTGATTACATCCAGTTGGAACAAAGAAATCAAGACTCCATATGCATATTATAATATATAATAATATATAGATGTGCTGACTCAGGGAAATCTAGGCACCATGCCGCACGAGGTTCAAGCCTTCAGTCGGCGGGGAAATCGGCAAGCCGCAGCATCTCCAAAGTTTGCATCTGCGGTGTCTCCGTGAATTTTTTTGGTCAGCTCAGCTTTTGGCCAAGAATAGAGTACGAACCAAATTCAAGGCTGCAACCACAGCAGCCTCAGAGCGTTGTGCAATGAAGAGCGAGATTGGATGAGATTGAGAGCAGCCTCGCCGCATTTGCGGTTGATACTTGAGGCAGTCTGGCACACCCCTCGCAACTGAGGAACCAAAAACATGATATTGGGTCTTGCGCAAAGGGGTGCACTCTCACTGAAATCACGCGATAAATGCAAAAAAGGGTGGAATTTGTGTCTCGATGTGTCTTGATCCAAACTCTGTGAGCAGAGCATTGGGTGGCTGGTCGGCAAGGCATTCCAGCCTGCAAAATGAACAGCGGCGGCAACTTCTGGATTGCACGGTTTCACACAAACACAAGAGCCTAATTATCATATCTGACTGAAAGCACATTTGGGGCTGGGCGACCGGGCCTGCTGTTCGCTATTGGAGACCAAGGATTGTGAGAGGTAATCACAAAATCGCTATGGCGTGAATATGCTTGAGCCATTAAACAACGACGCAATGCGACGCAAATTTTGTGGCACAGAAACCGCAGCAGTGTCAGCCGGAGGGGCATCCTTCTTGATAGATTTGATGTCGAGTTGCACATTCTCTGTGTTTTGATCAATACCTCTACAAGCTTTCGAAAAATTCAAAGCCCCATGCGTGTCCGTGACATCCGTGGCCAATTCATGGCAACATCGTGAGCAGCTGCGCCCGGCCTCTGGCTTCGCAACATTGTGAGCAAAGCTGCGCGCTTCGACATACCATGCCTGCAGATGTTGTCCGCGTCTGCAGTTTGTGATTTTTGGAAAGTGAACGTGTAAATCCGGCGGTTTCACTAGCAGTTCACGATGATGAGCATCATGAGGTGCTTTCCAGTTCATGCAAAAACCCTCATGGCAAGCGCTGCCTCCTTTGTGAGCCTTTCCACAAGTGAGGCATCAAAGCCTGCCAACATCGACCTGAGAGACAGAGAGCTTCAAACATGTATGACTGTGTGAGTATAAGACACAAGTCAGTCTCGCAGTCTCGCCAGATTTCCACGGAAGAACTGATGGATGTGCATCAAACGCATGAGATGTTTACAAAAAAACATTCCCCTGTGAAGTCCGGAATGATCAGCGTATGGTGCAGAATCTTCATGGCCTTGGCAGTAGCTGTTTGTCCAACAGCTGGCTATAGCGACGTTGCAGCTGGATGAGTTCCCATGCAACCTGCCGTATGAACAAATGTCAGCTGGTGGCTTTCACTAGGATGTTTCATGTTTGGCAAAATCTTGGCGGACTCCGAACATTTCTTCTTAAGATCTGGATTTGATATTTGAGTTCTACCAGTTCTACCCTCAGCTTGCTGCTTGGCACAGCAACCGAGCAAAGTCTTGGGGACCTGCCGCCGGGAGCTGCCGGGACCTGCCTTCAGTCTGGCCAGTTGGATCTGCTGGGCATCTTTCTGAACCTCACTCAACTACCGCTTCTTTCTGGCCAAGAACGTGTCCATGATGTTCATGTTTCTTCATTTTCAGGCCTTGATACATGATAATGGGAATATAATGGGTAAACACTGCAGGAAAAAAAAAAATGTTGCATTTCAAGGCATAAATTCTGACATATATTCTGTCCGCGATCATACAATTCCACCATGTTCTCAAAGAAATAGATGCAACAGCCACTGGCATTTCATGGCATATCAATGCAACTGCATGTAATATTCTGTCCATGATCATACAAATCCGCAATCTGGCAAAAGAAAAAGCTCAGTTCATAACAAATTGTGTCGCAGCCTTTTCCAGGAAACCTAGTTTTTTTCCCTGTATCATCCCATGATAGTCATGTTTCAACATCAAGGATACATCATGTTGCGTGACACTACTTGAAAGTATCTAATTCAGCGGTTTATAGCCTTACTCAGTGCCGCACACGTTGCTGCCGCAACTGTGCGGCATGTGTATGAAGTTTGGCCTCCAGGGGGGCCCAGGGTGTCTTATCGCTCCATCGTGGAAATGTAGTTCCCAACATTGTACAGATATATTGTGGTTAAAACAATAAGAAATAAACCATCCCCCAAATCACCATAAATAGGTGATATAAACCATTCCCAAATGGGTAGTTTAATATTGTTTTAACATGTTTTAACCACATTAGACAGAATTCAGCAAACAATGAGGAACGCTATGTCAGCTCAGCACTCAGGTGTGAAATTAGTAGGATTGAAGGTGGCAATCCTAAATTGCACAAAAGGGGTGGCTACAAAATTGCACTTGGATAGTGAGTTTCACAGATTCGCCTCGCTGGCACGCGAAAGATCACTTCTAGCCTGCAGCAGCAGGTAATGGAAATTTTGTTTTCGGCACAGTCTTCAATGGCTTCCCATGAAGAATCCTACAGACGATCCCATGAAATGCCATTAAAAACACCGATCTCATCCTCAGTTTCTTCGGTGCATTCGAGGAGCATGAAACAACATTGCTGACATCGTCTCTGAAAAACCCTGTACATGGAAAATCATGGAAAGACTTCATCGGCAGAATCCCAGGGTGCATCATTTCTACAGCTATTCTAATTGCATTAATCATTTCCGATCGACATTCCTTCTGGTGGCCTCGGCAAAAGCTGCTGAGTCGTTCATGCCACGATTCAGCTCCTGGAAACAAATCGATCGCAACAAAAAATCGCAGGCAGCATGGAGAGAACCCACCGCTCCATGTAGCTTCTGGCACGAGTAGCCAAATACTCGCGGCCTCACGACAGTCAATCCTTCTGGAGATGTGGTGAGTTTTCAGAGTTTTCCCTCATCGTGGTTTGCAGGGTCTTTCCTGTCAGCTGTGACTTATAAAAAGTGTTTTTAGGGTTTTGGCCTTCGGGTGTCTCTTCGAAGAGCTTCAGCTTCCGCCGTCCTTCCTGCCATGTTACAGCGGAAGCCCAACAAAGACAGACTGCTTCAGTGCAAATGCTGGCTGCTTCGGCACCTCAAGCGACCTCTCCAGAAATTCATTGAAGACCTGTTGGGTCGCTTCGTGCATTTCCCTTTCCTGCGGATGCAATGCAACAGGCAACAGCACATCATGCAATGTGACGGGCGGCAACACAGTAAGTAGAGAGGGTGAGCAAACATTGCGAAAATATGCGAAAATCAGAGCACGAAACAATGCAAGAAAACTCTGGGACATGTTTTTTGTACAGCTTGGCCTAGCCTTCTTTTCCAGTTGGCGCAAGGCATCGATTTGGGTAACCTCCACACAAATGGAGAGCAAGGTGCAAATACTGCTTGCATCATACAGGCAGCGGAAGCAAAGGAGTGACAGCTGACAGGTTCAGTCTGTTGTCTAAGATTGTCTAAGTGCATCGAATGAGAAAAGTCCGTTCACATTTTTAAGTCATAGATGCTGGAGCCAGCGGCCTGCGCCGCGACCAGCTCATCTGCCTGAGCCTGGACTGCTTGGAAACTAACAAATCCAGGCTTGGCGAAAGATGGTGAAAGTACACAAGACAGAAGACATCACAAGAAACTCTCACGGTTGCTGAACGCGTGTGATCGTTCGATATTTTTTTGGCATGTCCACCGGCACCTGTTGATCACCTTCGTGTACGACAGGTCGTGCATCAGATAGAAAGCTCCCTGATGCAGCGACTTCGAAGCTGCCGTTCGCACAACAGGAAAGAATGACATCGGCTGAACTTTGTTACATGGCTGAACTCGATGGGGTTACTGTGCACCACAAATGTCTCCATATATTTGACTACGGATGATTGTGGGAAGCCCGGCAAGCTGGCAGATTCAAAGGTTTCTGAAGCTTTCAAAGGCTGGACCTGCTCGACTTGATTGGCTTGATCGCGGAGACCGTTTGGCCTACCCGGAAACATCTAAGCTGACTTGGAAGAAAGCCCTTCGAAATATTTCAAAATCACACTGTGGCACTTGTTTGAGGATTTTGGCCTTCCATGTTGGAGCCATGGGCGTAAAGGTACACTCAGACAGCTCCTTCGAGCTACAGACAGCTACAGATGTTACGCTGCACCGTCGGTTCAAGCAAAGCTGAAGTTGCAAGGGATGCCGTCCTGAAATGCTCGAATGCGCGCCTGCAAAAAGCGGGCTTTTAAAGTTGAAAGTGCTGACAAAGTGGCGCACATTTCTCTCCCCTTGGCACCTCAGATCGCTTCTTCTCAAGGCGATTGACGAGGCCCTCCTGCTTTTTGTTCATGCTTTCACTGTACCTTGTGGAGATTCACCAGCTTCGCGTCATAGATATTCAATGATAGTTATAAACTGTGAGAAAACGAGCATACTGAGCTTCCGGCCAGCTCTGAAACTGGTGCTGGCTGAAATTCCGGGGGCTGCAAGTGTTGGCAATGTTCTTCTGGACCTCTTCTTCTTCCTTCCGCTTTTTCTCTTCCAGTTTTGCCTGCCACTTCTGAAGTCGTATCTCATGATCTTCATACAGATCCTGGTAGCGCCTCTTCTGCGATTCTGAACGCTGGGGTTTTCCCGGCCGCTGTGGGCGCTGGGGGCTTTGGGTTGGGGAAATGCTACCAGATCGAGCACGCATGGAGTATGGCACTTCCCATGGAGCTTCTTCCGCGGTCTTCCCTTGCCAAGCTGCACCTTTGACAGAGCCTCCATTTCGTGGACTTGTTGGCTTACTCTTGGGGCTATCAGATTGAGATCGAGGCGACCCATCTTCAGATTTGGTGTGCTTCATGGCATGGCTTTGGTAAAACCTTGGGCTGCCCTCTTTGGATGTGGCTTTGGATGTGGGAGTGGTCGCGATCTTTGCATCTGGAGCTGGTTGATTCCGTGGAGATATTGAAGGTTGTCGGGAGGACGGGGGCCAAGCGCCCACGGATGCCACCGAGACAACTGATGCCACAGGCGCAGGGCTGGGAGCGAAACTCGCAGTGGCAACTGGTACACCAGTCTGTACAACTCCAGAGCCCATCCTGAAAAGGGGATCAAAACTGTTCAAATTTGAGAAATATGACCAAAGTTGAGGCGAATGACATAAATGACAGGCTAGGAATATGCGGAATATGGGAAATGATCAACTTTGAGTTCAATCCTGAGAGCAGCAACCAAACCTCGCCTGAACATCGGCTGTGGTGTTGGGGTCACAGCCCTAGCTGTAACCGCCCTTTGCTGCATCTGCACCACACCACTGGGCATGCTGCCGACGCTGTGACAACGTTGCATACCCATGCTAGGCACTGCTGCAGGCATAGACACTGCCGGCACTCCCATCAGTCCGCCTGCACCGTGGTTTGAGTTTGGTCAATAAGTACTTCCCTTCTGTCCCTTCTCAAGAAAAGCACCAACATGTGAATCCTCAACGTGCGGATGGTTGCTTGATGTACCGCCTTGTGAAGCCACTCGAGTTAGTTGCGGAGGAAGCTGCGGACTTGCCTGGCCGGTGTTTGAGGTTCTGAGAGATAAGTGGGAAGCGCAAGATCCATTGCGCCTGCGGCAGGGTCCGAGCGCCCACTGCCATCCTGCAATTGAAATGCTGAAGGTCACATGCAGAGGGGAATCCCAAAAGTGAATGGCATCCAATCGGCCAATCAATGAGCCAATGGATATCAATGGATTCCAATGGTTTCATTTCGCCATATTGTGTTGGTGAAAGGTTGTGGCGAGCGACGGAGCTGCCGCACATGGCATTGGCAGCGTTGTGGGCAAGGTCCTGAGGGTGGAGGGTTTCCCACTTCCTGCACTATAAAGGAAAGGGATTGGAAAACGAGGGGCACATGAGGTCAAAAAGTTGTGTTTACTGGTTTCTAACGGTCCTTGCACCTCAAAATCAGTAGAATCAGAATCCGTGGAAATTTAAGTGTTGTCGCCGGTCTCTTAAGGCATGTCCTCATGTAAAGTTTTTACTGCTGCAGACTTTCTGGGTCACCAGGCAAAATGAAATCACAAACACTGCGTGAAATGCATGCTAGTTTTACATGTCATTTGTCCGTGTATATATATATATATTATATATATATATGTATAATCTGTGGTTGGATAGCGGGCCCTGAAGACATGACTGTGGTCATGAGATTGTATCCCTTTGGCCGTTGGAAGTGGTGTCAGTGGTGTCATCAGGTAACATAAGAGTGGAATGAGCTCGTTTCACAATAATCATATATATATATATATGTATATATGTATATATGTATGTGGTGCCTTTGCTTCTTTGATAGGAACGGTAAAAAGGATAGGCTTTACAACTCCGAGAAAACGGTTGCTACCATTGTGTGTCACGAAGTCAGAATTCATGAAGTGAAGAGCCGGGCCGACATTTCTTCTCTTTGGTCCTTCCTTGACTCTCCCGATAACAACATTTCGAAACAGGAGAGGATGTTCATTGCAAAGGATTTGAACCTTCACCCTTCAAGTCACATCTCAAAGACCATCAAAGACCCTCAAAGACCCAATCCCGGAAAAGCCCCAAGGCCCCAAGGATCTCAACTAGGACCCCCAGCGGGCGTTGCGCTGGAAGTAACATGGCTCTCAGGTCATCACGGAGAAGGGCGACGCTGAGAGACGCTGAGAGACGCTGAGACTGTTGCTGCTTTAGGACGTCAGATGACGTCAGCATCCTGTCCTCCTTAAGATGACTAGCAGCCTAGCATGACAATTGCAAAGAGGGCGAACATTCATTTCGCGACTTCAAGTCAAGCTGCTTGTGTTCTGTCAGGCGTCTGTAGCTGTGTTCTCCATGAATTTCACATGATCCTTCACATCGCCTGCCATAGGAGAAAAAGCATCACGTTGACAAACGAAAGTGTAGTCTCTGCTGCACTCAACTCACTTTGTGGAGTAGGGGCCGCAATCGGATTGAACATAGTGAACTACGATTACCTCGGTATTTGTGTCATGTCTCCAACAACTACAAACACTGACAGCAGAGCACATCTCGAAACCTTTTTGCGATCACTCCAGCCCACGCTTGTGGTGGACCAGCTCCTCCCTGATGCATCACCATTATCTCCACCCTGGATTCCAAACTCCGAAGAAAGCACTGTCATTGAAAATGCGACACCAATTCAAGCATCCCAAAGCATCCCTGCCTCCCGGAAGTCAAGTTTGAAAGTAAGCGCTTTGGCCTTGTTACCACATTGCAACTGTGGTCGATGCTGTATAGAACAAACGTTTCATGGGAAAGAAAAGGAAAACACGAACAGAGAACCACCTGGGTACCCATAGTACCCATGAGCACAGAACCTCTTCCTCTAGCTTTTGGCAGAGCTCTAACACCTGCCCAATGAGGTGCCACCGGCTTCAAAGTTCGTTGCGATGGTGCTTCCAAAATATGCAAAAATCGCACTCCTCGGCTTCAATGTCTCCACCCTGAGCAACGATCGCAGACCAGTACGAAGGTACACTGATCACAGCAGACCAAGAGCGAACGAAATGAACAACTCTGGGAGCCATGCCAACGGGCCATCAATGTCATGGACACGTGGCACATGCGGAGCTTGCCTCAGTCATAGTGAGGTCTGTCAGAGGTCACCTATGGGTCAACTTCAAAAGATTCAAAATCCAAAAGGTCACCTGAGTCGACGGGGCCTTTCAGTTGCCTTTCCTATCGAAGCACCCCGCAATTCAGATGTCCATGTCTATGGTCACGGCCGCAATTCTGCCAACTCCTGTGAGGCCACCAGACTGCCCTTGAATGTCAACAAGTTACATTGCAACCGCAGCTTCCAGAAAAATGAAGATGGCGTTGAAAATTATATGTTCAAGAACTGAACCAATGCGAATGCACAAAAAACACTTCCAATTATTGGACAATATTGCCCCCAGGTTTCTCCAAGTTTACACAGACCTCGCGGCAGCTTCGCAGTTCAATCTGCGCCTATCGGAATATCAGACACAACAAATGTTTAAAGTTTAAAGTCACAAGGAGGATAGGAGACAGCGTGGGAAATCAAAAAATCGGAAGAACTCGGATCATCTTGGATCTTAGCACTCCGGACTCTTGGTTTTTTGCTGAAGTTTGCCAATTTCTTCATTATCTTCATTTCATCTCTCAATACTTTCATGTCATGATATTTCATGTAGACCATTTTTTGGTTCCCATCTCTGGTTCACCCTTAAACCAGTCGACTTCTCGCCGCCTCTTGAGCTTCTAATGCGTTCTGTTCTGCACGTGCCTTGCAGAAAATTTAAGCAAAAAATATTCCGGCCTAAAAACAGTTACTGAAAGTTTGTAGTACTCAGAATTGAAGTTGTTCATCTGGTTTGACTTTCAGAGTGCAACAAGTCCAACATGTTGTAACATGCTCACCAACTGTCCCTTTGCCATTGGCAAGCCTCTGCTGTCGTAAGTGTCTCACAGAAGTGCTCCTGTGAACAACTCCAATCCAAGCACAGTTGCGAAACATGCCGGTTGCCGCGTCCTCCCGTTTTCGCCAGCCTTCCTGCTCAGCCTGTCAAGCTGAGTCAGGCATAGCTCTTGGGAGTCAAAACTAATGGAGTGATGGCCTCATAGGCGGCTTTCAAGCGACCTGTCCGGAATGGTGTCACGATGTTCCCACGGGACCACTGCAACTACAAAGCAGCAGTTAGCATATGTTAGCATCAAAAACAAAAAGTTAAGAGTGGGAATTCTGAGGTTTCCGTGCTAAAGAGCCGGCATCATGCCTAGTTCACTGCGTGCAGCTGCCAAAGCATGTTCCGCTGTATACCGGCGTCGCGTCTGGTGTTCCACCTGTGCATGGAGGTAAACACAACAATCTGAGATCAGCAAGGGCTGTTCTGCTTGAAACGCGGAAAATATCAGTTTTACTGTATCTCTTGATTCGCACTCCATTACATTACATTACATATGCATCCATTCATCCATTCATCCATTCATCCATTCATCCATTCATCCATTCATCCATTCATCCATTCATCCATTCATCCATTCATCCATCCATCCATCCATCCATCCATCCATCCATCCATCCATCCATCCATCCATCCATCCATCCATCCATCCATCCATCCTCTACACGTTTTGTTTTCACATGCATGTGAATACATAATACCTGCAGATTCGAGAGGGCATTTGGGTCGCAATGACTTCGGAGTTGTTGGGGGCCGTTGGTTAAAATCTCATGAATTCAGAGCACTGTCTGCAGTGAGTCATGGCTTGGAACCATGCTCCCAACAAGCCCTAGTTCTAGTTGCATCACGTCGAGCACCGCCCGCACCCCGATGAAATGAAAGGCTACGGCTACGGGAATTGCGCAGCAGGAACGGCTTTTCGAAGTTGACAAATATTGCTGGGAATGTGGGCTGAACACGGGCCTACTTAGCTCAAACCTCCAACACTGGGACCAACCTTGGCCTTGGCCTTACAAGCTAACTTGGGCCCAGTTTGGGCGCTCCGGCACTTTCGGTGCGGACGGATTTACACTTATGATTGTACGTATGTTTTGATGTGAATTCATCTATAAATTCTATAATATAATGCTGTGCACCACTATGTGAATATGATTGCTACCGCTACTGCCAATGTAGTTCGGTGCGACGGGACCTCCCGTCTGGCATCATCAAAGGAGGCTTCCAAAGCAGCACCTCGCAGCAGCAACTGATGACCATTGCTGTAGATTGCTGCGGTGCACTTTCACAATTCAAGTTGTGGATGTGAAAAATAAGAATGAAACTCCAGGCCAAGCATAGGTTTTCTCCGAAGGTCCACATCTTGTGTTGTCACGAAAGCTTTCAATCGTGCCAACACTGCTACCTTTGCAGCCAGAAATCAAAAGAAGCCAAGCTGTTCAGCCCACTTCAGAGCACCAGACCCAACACAAGGTTTGGACATGTTTGAAGATTTTTGGATATATTGTATGTTGCGTATATTCTTTTGGGACAAAGAGACCAGCCATTTTGTTCAAAAAATCTCTCGGCCGCTCGACCGCCCCGTGAGAACACTATCTGCATTCTATCTGCTTTGTACAGAGAGATCAAGAAAGTCCTGTACCCGCAATCGTGTCATGTTTGTGTGTGTGTGCCCTTGTTCATCTTGTTAGAATCTTGTTCATGTCTCACAGTCTCACATCTTGCATAAATTCAAACCACCAGAAGAGAGACATCAACGGTATACAGCGAAGCAACATGATCTCCTGCAACGTGGCACGTCGTGGCAAGTCGTGGCAAGTCGTGGCACGTCGCGTCAATGAGGCCACTCTTTTCGACTCAAGCCAAGCGCTGGTTCATCCAGGATGACTGGACACCAACCTGAAAGATCTGAAAGGTCACATCAGTCAGCCAGCTCAGTAAGAACATGTGATCTTAGTGATATCAGTGATGGATTTCTCCCCCGATGCATCTATGACTTGTCTGAAACTTGCACTTGTGCAACTTGTGCCATGCTTTTATGCGACCACTTCCGAAGCACATTGAGGTCTGCGCATATCCCTCTAGGTCAATGAAGCAAATGCAATGAAAACCGCCTGCCGGGATCTGCCGAAGGCGTTTGATCATTGCCATTTATCAGATCAGTGCTTTTTGTCAAGAGCAAATTGCGTCAGGCACAAAAAACCCTTCGAAAAAAGAACTTGAACGAAGCGACCAGATGAACCAGTTTTCCAGCACTGGCTACAAACCTCAACCCTCCACGAACCTGCCTGTGTCGAAGCGGCGCAATTCTTTGTCATTGCTTGGGCTGCGTTCCATCAACTTTTCAGAGCCTTCGAAAAAGGTAATCTTATCCTGCAATGTGGGCAGGCTAGGACCGCTAGGAGCAATCAAAGCCGTCAGAGCTGAGTCAGAGCTGACAAACAAACTCGGAACACGCGAATCACAGCGTGTTCGGATCCGTGGCCAAATGATTTGCGAGTATTTGCGAGCAGTCAAAATATTTACAGCCTCACTTATATACTGTATCTCACTTCAAAAAATAACTCAGCCACGTGGGAGCATCCTGCGGGTCGTGGATAATCAGGAATGGGAACTTTGCATTCGTCATATCCTGCCAAAGGGCAAACAGTTCCATGTCATCTTGAACTGTTCAGTCACTGGCTCTCTGATTTCAGCGCATCTGTCCTGCCTATGCCCTGTACAAACTGTACAAGATTCTCAAAAAGATTTAACAGCCACGTGAGGCAGCTTGCTGCCACAAAATTTGGTGAAATGGGAGCTTCTTGTGCTCAACGCCGCATTGTCCTTGTCCATGCTTGAGAAAACTTTGGCGAACGCTCCAGCAGTTCCCCACCGGGTATTTCGAGTCCAGCCAAGTCCTGTGACCAATCTGTGGCAAAGATTCTGTCTGGGCACTTCCACTCTGCTGATTTTGCTGCTCGCACTCAGTCCTACGTCTGGAAAACGTAACGGGTCGTCTCGCATTTCCATCTCAGCATACATCTTCTGCTTCGGATCGCCTCAGCACAAGCAAAAATCCATGGCAGATTATGCTTTGCAATGGTAGAATCCTGTTTAAGTCTACCAACCTCGCCAACCCCCCACCACACATGACGAAACCACCAAGGCACTAAGGACGTAAGAGTGGCCGTAGTTGATTTTGCTGCTGGAGCTCAGAATGGAAGGCATCCCTGAATGTGAAAAACAGGGAACGACCTGGGCAAAGTCCAGGCAGAGTGGGTAAAAGGATGGAACTTCCAGACCCGGGTCGTCAGCGCGTGATGAAACAAACAAGGGGGTCCTCGTCTTCATCAATTTCTGAATTCGCAGAACATGCAGATGCATCTTTGTCGCATTAGATATGGGCACTCCAGTCAGAGAGCTGTTCTGGAAATACTCTGCCAGATCATCATTTCACCCAGGTGCTCCCAGTACAGCAGTGATGCGAACAAACCAGACCGTACAGCAAAGCTTTGATGTTTTTTCCTATCAGTCCACTTGCCATGAATATCATGAATATTGAGACATGGACTTCAACTTCCTCCCCTTTTTGCTGCACGCTTTGCACGCACACACGCACACACGTTGTGTAGGTGTGTAGGTGTGTAGGTGCATGCATGCATGTATGCATGTATGCATGTATGCATGTATGCATGTATGCATGTATGCATGTATGCATGCATGCATGCATGCATGCATGCATGCATGCATGATGCATGGATGTATGCATGGATGGATGTATGTATGTATGTATGTAGGTAGGTAGGTAGGTATGTATGTAGGTATGTATGTATGTATGTATGGTAAGGTAATCTAACGTAACGTAACGTAACGTATGCATGTATGTATGTATGGTAATGTAATGTAACGTAATGTAATGTAATGTAACGTAATGCAATGTAATGTAAGGTAAGGTAAGGTAATGTAACGTAATGTAATGTAATGTAACGTAATGTAATGTAAGGTAAGGTAAGGTAATGCAAGGTAATGTAAGGTAAGGTAAGGTAATGTAATGTATGTATCTATGTATCTATGTATCTATGTATCTATGTATCTATGTATCTATGTATCTATGTATCTATGTATCTATGTATCTATGTATCTATGTATCTATGTATCTATGTATGTATGTATGTATCTATCTATCTATCTATCTATCTATCTATGTATTCATGTATGCATATATGCATGTATGCATGTATGCATGTATGCATGTATGCATGTATGCATGTTTGTATGTTATGGTATGGTATGGTATGGTATGTGATGTAATGTAATGTAATGTAAATGTAATGTAATGTAAATCTAATGTAATGTAATGTACTGGTATGTAATGTAATGTAATGTAATGTAAGGTTATGTACGTACGTACTTACGTACGTTACATACGTATGTCCGGTACGTCCGTCTGTCTGTCTGTCTGTCTGACTGGCTGGCTGGCTGTCTGTCTGTCTGTCTGTCTGTCTGTCTGTGCGTACCTACGTACGTACCTAAGTTCTACGTACCTGCGTACCTATGTACCTACGTACCTACGTACCTACGTACCTAGGTACCTACGTACCTACGTACGTACGTGCGTATGTATGTATAGATGTATAGATGTATAGATGTATAGATGTATAGATGTATAGATGTACTGTATAGATGTAAAGATGTATAGATGTATATGTGTATAGGGCTATAGATGTATAGGGCTATAGATGTATCCATGTATCCATGTATCGATGTATACTGTAGATGTATAGATGTCTGGATGTGTAGATGCATAGATGTATAGATATATAGATGTATAGATGTATAGATGTATCTATGTATAGATGCATCGATGTATAGATGTATACTCGTATACATGTATACATGTATACGTGTATACGTGTATATGTGTATAGATGTATACGCGTATACATCTATACATCTATACATCTATACATCTATACATCTATACATCTACACATCTATACATCTATACATCTATACATCTATACATCTATACACAGATACATATATGCATATATGCATATATCCGCCGACCCCAGCAAACGGCAGGGGGAGCGCGCCCGAGAAAAAGTTGTAGCCTGCCCTCAAACGCTCCGCAGCGCCTTTGCCGGCGCTTTTGGCCATCTGCCAGGCCTTTGCCCAGTACTGCGGGCCTTTGCACACAACTTTTCTAGTGGCTTCAGAAAGCAACGTTAGGCACTCGCCTGCCTTCAAACCCTCCGCAGCGCCTTGGCCGGCGCTTTGTGGCCATCTGCCGGGCCTTTGACCAGACTTTTCTAGTAGCTTCAGAAAGCAACGTTAGGCACTAGCCTGGCTTCAAGCCCTGCGCAGCGCCTTGGCGGGCGCTTCGTGGCCAGCTGCCGGGCCTGTGCTCGAGCTTTTCCATCTTTTCTAGTGGCTTCAGAAAGCAACGTTAGGCACTAGCCTGGCTTCAAACCCTCCGCAGCGCCTTGGTGGGCGCTTTGTGGCCAGCTGCCGGGCCTGTGCTCGAGCTTTTCCAGTCTTTTCTAGTGGCTTCAGAAAGCAGCGTTAGGCACTAGCCTGGCTTCAAACCCTCCGCAGCGCCTGGGCGGGCGCTTCGTGGCCAGCTGCCGGGCCTGTGCTCCAGCTTTGCCAGTCTTTTCGAGTCACTTCAGAACGCAACGTTAGGCAGTAGCCTGGCTTCAAACCCTCCGCAGCGCCTTGGCGGGCGCTTCGTGGCCAGCTGCCGGGCCTGTGCTCCAGCTTTTCCAGTCTTTTCTAGTGGCTTCAGAAAGCAACGTTAGGCACTAGCCTGGCTTCAAACCCTCCGCAGCGCCTTGGTGGGCGCTTTGTGGCCAGCTGCCGGGCCTGTGCTCGAGCTTTTCCAGTCTTTTCTAGTGGCTTCAGAAAGCAGCGTTAGACACTAGCCTGGCTTCAAACCCTCCGCAGCGCCTGGGCGGGCGCTTCGTGGCCAGCTGCCGGGCCTGTGCTCCAGCTTTTCCAGTCTTTTCTAGTAGCTTCAGAACGCAACGTTAGGCACTAGCCTGGCTTCAAACCCTCCGCAGCGCCTTGGCGGGCGCTTCGTGGCCAGCTGCCGGGCCTGTGCTCCAGCTTTTCCAGTCGGCTTCAGAAAGCAACGTTAGGCACTAGCCTGGCTTCAAACCCTCCGCAGCGCCTGGGCGGGCGCTTTGTGGCCAGCTGCCGGGCCTGTGCTCCAGCTTTTCCAGTCTTTTCTAGTGGCTTCAGAAAGCAACGTTAGGCACTAGCCTGGCTTCAAACCCTCCGCAGCGCCTGGGCGGGCGCTTTGTGGCCAGCTGCCGGGCCTCTGCTCGAGCTTTTCCAATCTTTTCTAGTGGCGTCACAAAGCAACGTTAGGCACTAGCCTGGTTTCAAACCCTCCGCAGCGCCTGGGCGGGCGCTTTGTGGCCAGCTGCCGGGCCTGTGCTCCAGCTTTTCCAGTCTTCAGAAAGCAACGTTAGGCACTAGCCTGGCTTCAAACCCTCCGCAGCGCCTGGGCGGGCGCTTTGTGGCCAGCTGCCGGGCCTCTGCTCGAGCTTTTCCAATCTTTTCTAGTGGCTGCAGAAAGCAACGTTAGGCACTAGCCCGGCCTCAAACCCTCCGCAGCGCCGTGGCGGGCGCTTTGTGGCCAGCTGCTGGGCCTGTGCTCCAGCTTTTCCAGTCTTTTCTAGTGGCTTCAGAAAGCAACGTTAGGCACTAGCTCGGCCTCAAACCCTTCGCAGCGCCTTGGCGGGCGCTTTGTGGCCAGCTGCCGGGCCTGTGCTCCAGCTTTTCCAGTCTTTTCTAGTGGCTTCAGAAAGCAACGTTAGGCACTAGCCCGGCCTCAAACCCTCCGCAGCGCCTTGGCGGGCGCTTCGTGGCCAGCTGCCGGGCCTGTGCTCCAGCTTTTCCAGCTTTTCTAGTCTTTTCTAGTGGCTTCAGAAAGCAACGTTAGGCACTTGCCCGGCCTCAAACCCTCCGCAGCGCCTTGGCGGGCGCTTCGTGGCCAGCTGCCGGGCCTGTGCTCCACCTTTTCTAGTCTTTTCTAGTGGCTGCAGAAAGCAACGTTAGGCACTAGCCCGGCCTCAAACCCTCCGCAGCGCCTTGGCGGGCGCTTTGTGGCCAGCTGCTGGGCCTGTGCTCCAGCTTTTCCAGTCTTTTCTAGTGGCTTCAGAAAGCAACGTTAGGCACTAGCCCGGCCTCAAACCCTCCGCAGCGCCTTGGCGGGCGCTTCGTGGCCAGCTGCCGGGCCTGTGCTCCAGCTTTTCCAAGTCTTTTCTAGTGGCTTCAGAAAGCAACGTTAGGCACTAGCCCGGCCTCAAACCCTCCGCAGCGCCTTGGCGGGCGCTTCGTGGCCAGCTGCCGGGCCTGTGCTCCAGCTTTTCCAGTCTTTTCTAGTGGCTTCAGAAAGCAACGTTAGGCACTAGCCCGGCTTCAAACCCTCCGCAGCGCCTTGGCGGGCGCTTCGTGGCCAGCTGCCGGGCCTGTGCTCCAGCTTTTCCAGCTTTTCTAGTCTTTTCTAGTGGCTTCAGAAAGCAACGTTAGGCACTAGCCCGGCCTCAAACCCTCCGCAGCGCCTTGGCGGGCGCTTCGTGGCCAGCTGCCGGGCCTGTGCTCCACCTTTTCTAGTCTTTTCTAGTGGCTGCAGAAAGCAACGTTAGGCACTAGCCCGGCCTCAAACCCTCCGCAGCGACTTGGCGGCCGCTTTGTGGCCAGCTGCTGGGCCTGTGCTCCAGCTTTTCCAGTCTTTTCTAGTGGCTTCAGAAAGCAACGTTAGGCACTAGCCCGGCCTCAAACCCTCCGCAGCGCCTTGGCGGGCGCTTTGTGGCCAGCTGCCGGGCCTGTGCTCCAGCTTTTCCAAGTCTTTTCTAGTGGCTTCAGAAAGCAACGTTAGGCACTAGCCCGGCCTCAAACCCTCCGCAGCGCCTTGGCGGGCGCTTCGTGGCCAGCTGCCGGGCCTGTACTCCAGCTTTTCTAATCAGTCTAGTGGCTTCAGAAAGCAACGTTAGGCACTAGCCCGGCTTCAAACCCTCCGCAGCGCCTTGGCGGGCGCTTCGTGGCCAGCTGCCGGGCCTGTGCTCCAGCTTTTCCAACTTTTCTAGTCTTTTCTAGTGGCTTCAGAAAGCAACGTTAGGCACTAGCCCGGCCCCAAACCCTCCGCAGCGCCTTGGCGGGCGCTTTGTGGCCAGCTGCCGGGCCTGTGCTCCAGCTTTTCCAGTCTTTTCTAGTGGCTTGAGAAAGCAACGTTAGGCACTAGCCTGGCTTCAAACACTCCGCCGCGCCTTGGCGGGCGCTTTGTGGCCAGCTGCCGGGCCTGTGCTCCAGCTTTTCCAGTCTTTTCTAGTGGCTTCAGAAAGCAACGTTAGGCACTCGCCCGGCCTCCAACCCTCCGCAGCGCCTTGGCAGGCGCTTTGTGGCCAGCTGCCGGGCCTGTGCTCCAGCTTTTCCCGTCTTTTCTAGTGGCTTCAGAAAGCAACGTTAGGCACTAGCCCGGCTTCAAACCCTCCGCAGCGCCTTGGCGGGCGCTTCGTGGCCAGCTGCCGGGCCTGTGCTCCAGCTTTTCCAGTCTTTTCTAGTGGCTTCAGAAAGCAACGTTAGAAACTAGCCTGGCTTCAAGCCCTGCGCAGCGCCAGCTGCCGGGCCTCTGCTCGAGCTTTTCCATTTTTTCTAGTGGCTTCAGAAAGCAACGTTAGGCACTAGCCTGGCTCCAAACCCTCCGCAGCGCCTTGGCGGGCGCTTTGTGGCCAGCTGCCGGGCCTGTGCTCCAGCTTTTCCAGTCTTTTCTAGTAGCTTCAGAAAGCAACGTTAGGCACTAGCCCGGCCTCAAACCCTCCGCAGCGCCTGGGCGGGCGCTTTGTGGCCAGCTGCCGGGCCTCTGCTCGAGCTTTTCCAATCTTTTCTAGTGGCTGCAGAAAGCAACGTTAGGCACTAGCCCGGCTTCCCTCCGCAGCGCCGTGGCGGGCGCTTTGTGGCCAGCTGCTGGGCCTGTGCTCCAGCTTTTCCAGTCTTTTCTAGTGGCTTCAGAAAGCAACGTTAGGCACTAGCTCGGCCTCAAACCCTTCGCAGCGCCTTGGCGGGCGCTTTGTGGCCAGCTGCCGGGCCTGTGCTCCAGCTTTTCCAGTCTTTTCTAGTGGCTTGAGAAAGCAACGTTAGGCACTAGCCCGGCCTCAAACCCTCCGCAGCGCCTTGGCGGGCGCTTCGTGGCCAGCTGCCGGGCCTGTGCTCCAGCTTTTCCAGCTTTTCTAGTCTTTTCTAGTGGCTTCAGAAAGCAACGTTAGGCACTTGCCCGGCCTCAAACCCTCCGCAGCGCCTGGGCGGGCGCTTTGTGGCCAGCTGCCGGGCCTGTGCTCCAGCTTTTCCAGTCTTTTCTAGTGGCTGCAGAAAGCAACGTTAGGCACTAGCCCGGCGTCAAACCCTCCGCAGCGCCTTGGCGGGCGCTTCGTGGCCAGCTGCCGCGCCTGTGCTCCAGCTTTTCCAATCTTTTCTCGTGGCTTCAGAAAGCAACGTTAGGCACTAGCCCGGCGTCAAACCCTCCGCAGCGCCTTGGCGGGCGCTTCGTGGCCAGCTGCCGGGCCTGTGCTCCAGCTTTTCCAGTCTTTTCTAGTGGCTTCAGAAAGCAACGTTCGGCACTAGCCTGGCTTCAAACCCTCCGCAGCGCCTTGGCGGGCGCTTCGTGGCCAGCTGCCGGGCCTGTGCTCCAGCTTTTCCAGCTTTTCTAGTGGCTTCAGAAAGCAACGTTAGGCACTAGCCCGGCCTCAAACCCTCCGCAGCGCCTTGGCGGGCGCTTCGTGGCCAGCTGCCGGGCCTGTGCTCCAGCTTTTCTAGTGGCTGCAGAAAGCAACGTTAGGCACTAGCCTGGCCTCAAACCCTCCGCAGCGCCTTGGCGGCCGCTTTGTGGCCAGCTGCTGGGCCTGTGCTCCAGCTTTTCCAGTCTTTTGTAGTGGCTTCAGAAAGCAACGTTAGGCACTAGCCCGGCCTCAAACCCTCCGCAGCGCCTTGGCGGGCGCTTTGTGGCCAGCTGCCGGGCCTGTGCTCCAGCTTTTCCAAGTCTTTTCTAGTGGCTTCAGAAAGCAACGTTAGGCACTAGCCCGGCCTCAAACCCTCCGCAGCGCCTTGGCGGGCGCTTCGTGGCCAGCTGCCGGGCCTGTGCTCCAGCTTTTCTAATCTTTTCTAGTGGCTTCAGAAAGCAACGTTAGGCACTAGCCTGGCGTCAAACCCTCCGCAGCGCCTTGGCGGGCGCTTCGTGGCCAGCTGCCGGGCCTGTGCTCCAGCTTTTCCAACTTTTCTAGTCTTTTCTAGTGGCTTCAGAAAGCAACGTTAGGCACGAGCCCGGCCCCAAACCCTCCGCAGCGCCTTGGCGGGCGCTTTGTGGCCAGCTGCCGGGCCTGTGCTCCAGCTTTTCCAGTCTTTTCTAGTGGCTTGAGAAAGCAACGTTAGGCACTAGCCTGGCTTCAAATACTCCGCCGCGCCTTGGCGGGCGCTTTGTGGCCAGCTGCCGGGCCTGTGCTCCAGCTTTTCTAGTCTTTTCTAGTGGCTTCAGAAAGCAACGTTAGGCACTCGCCCGGCCTCAAACCCTCCGCAGCGCCTTGGCGGGCGCTTTGTGGCCAGCTGCCGGGCCTGTGCTCCAGCTTTTCCAGTCTTTTCTAGTGGCTTCAGAAAGCAACGTTAGGCACTAGCCCGGCTTCAAACCCTCCGCAGCGCCTTGGCGGGCGCTTCGTGGCCAGCTGCCGGGCCTGTGCTCCAGCTTTTCCAGTCTTTTCTAGTGGCTTCAGAAAGCAACGTTAGGCACTAGCCTGGCTTCAAGCCCTGCGCAGCGCCTTGGCGGGCGCTTCGTGGCCAGCTGCCGGGCCTGTGCTCGAGCTTTTCCATCTTTTCTAGTGGCTTCAGAAAGCAACGTTAGGCACTAGCCTGGCTTCAAACCCTCCGCCGCGCCTTGGCGGGCGCTTTGTGGCCAGCTGCCGGGCCTGTGCTCCAGCTTTTCGAGTCTTTTCTAGTGGCTTCAGAAAGCAACGTTAGGCACCAGCCCCGCCTCAAACCCTGCGCAGCGCCTTGGCGGGCGCTTTGTGGCCAGCTGCCGGGCCTGTGCTCCAGCTTTTCCAGTCTTTTCTAGTGGCTTCAGACAGCAACGTTAGGCACTAGCCCGGCTTCCCTCCGCAGCGCCTTGGCGGGCGCTTTGTGGCCAGCTGCCGGGCCTGTGCTCCAGCTTTTCCAGTCTTTTCTAGTGGCTTCAGAAAGCAACGTTAGGCACTAGCCCGGCACTCCACGCTTTGTACTCCACCCTCCACACTCTACACTCCACACTTTCGACTCCCCACTTTCCACTCCACGCTGTACACTCCAAAGTTTGCACTCCACGCTTTGCGCTCTACACTTGACACTCCACACCCTGCACTTCACACTCCCAACTTTCGACTCCACACTCTACACTTTACACTCCACACTTTACACTCTACACTCCACACTCCCCACTTTAGACTCCACACTCAACATTACACTCCGCGCTTTACACTCCACACTTTACACTCTACACTTTAGACTCCACACTCTACACTTTGCACTCCACACTTGACACTGTACACCCCCTTTTACACTCCACATTTTCCGCTCTACACTTTACACTCCGCCCTTTACACTCCACACTTTCCACTCCACACTTTCCACTCTACACTCGGTACTTGTACTCCACACTCCACACTCTACACTCCACACTCCACACTTCAGTCTCACAGTCTACACTTGACACTCTCCGCACTCACACTCTACACTCCACACTTCATACTCCACATTTTACACTCCACACTCTACACATGGATCGAAAAAACTAACCCCTGTTCGGGGTTCTCCTTGTTCAGGAGACTACGTACTGTTTGCTGAGCGCCCGACCGGCCCTTGTTCAGGGCTCTCCTTGTTCAGGAGATGCCAGGGGTCGGCGGCAGGGGGCGGCAGCCCTTATATATATATATATGTATGTATAGATGGATACATGGATACATGTATGACACATACATGTATACATGGCCACATCTCTACATTTATGCATCAATACACAGATACATTTATGCATATATGCGTGTATGCATATAATATGCATATATGTATATATGTATATATGTATATGTATGTATATATGTATATGTATATATGTATGTATAATATATATATATATATGAAAAATTGATAAACACACATTTGTTTGCATATGTGCATACATACATATATATATATTTGTATATGTATATATGTATATATTTATATGTTTATACATGTGTCTATGTATATATGCTTTCTGCATGTACATATATATATATAATATACACGCATATTAGGTATATTAGATCATGTGACCTGATCATATACGGGCCGTTTCAGGAATTGGTGGCAAACATGTACTACCTCAGTGCTGGACAAAAGCGTTGAGAAAGCAGACCACCGCCTGCAACAAGCACAAGCAGGTTGACACAACGCTCTCCAGGCTCGATTTTAACTCGGTTGAAGTGTCAAACTGCTCCGAGCTGATCCTGATCAGCCAATCTGTTACCTGATGTGAATATACCAACCCCATCTGTAGGGAACTTCGATTTTTCTTCACCTGCGACGCTGTTGTCTCTTGCCCTTGTGCAAGTAGGTCGTCCAATAGAAGCAAGTGTCTTTTTCCATTGATCACTGTACATCTTGGACTGAATCTCATCAGGAGATATGGTCGCAAGAGCTCCTCTTTGCTCCACAACTTCTTTGAAGGTGAAACAAAGAAGCCAAAGGGGGCAAAAAAACAAAAACTCTTCGGAATCACCAGGAATCCTAGGCCATCAGCACCAGTTTGCACATGTCAGAATCACCTATGAAGACTCAACGCAGCGCCGCAGGAAATGACGAAATGACTCGGGTCCACTCGGGTCCCCCACAACTCTTCTACTCTCTCCATGAAAATGAGCACAAAGGAGGCAGCAGCATCCCATGATGGTAAACCTGGCGGCAGCATCCCATTCGTTGGCCAATCCACCGTGGGTTGCTGTGGCCAAGGCGCGAGATCGGGAGGAGGATGCCCAACAGCGGAGTTGCCGAGCCCAGACTGAGTCAAAACATGGGCGCAAAACTGGGTCGCAAATCACAAGCCTTTCGTATTTCATGCTTTTGAAAAACCATGCCGACATTGGATTTTTGTTGGGAAATATATCATGAAACACGTAATTTTCCTGGAAAAATCGCCCTATGCAGTACATGTTCCAGCTGTTCATTTTCTTCAGTCGCTCCACTTCCAGTCATTCCAGTCCTGAGTTCTTGGCACTTGTGTGAGTTGAATGAGGAGAATAAGCCCCGCTGTGCCCATCACGACAAAGAAACAGGGTATGGCACCCCAGTACACTTCGTCTCCCATGGCTTCACCTGAGATCGATCAAGTCCAGTTCTGGATCCTGGCAGAATGAAAAACAGATGTCCACTTCGAAAGCAGAAAAAAATGTCTTCCAAAGAATGAACATACAAAGTTTCAGTGGCAATAGATCGACTCCAAGCAAAGGGGTACAATGTCTGCCTCTGTTTATGTGGATCTACATGTACACATTACGCATCAACACATTGGCATGACTAAAAAGCACCACGTTTTTCAGTCGGCGCAGCACCCACCCGTCCTGATCAGATTTGATGCAAAGCCAATCCAGTGGATGCCCAAAGAAAACAAAAAAACTGCGTGCTGATTTGGTGAAGCTTGCTGATTCAAGCTGATCCTAAAAGCAGTGCCCTACTTTTTTCAACGAGTAGACAAGTACATGATCAAATGGCCATGGTTTGATAGTGCGTCAAGTGATAATAAACTCATAGCTGTCCCAAGTCCACAACTCCAAAACTTTCCGCAAACTTGTCAGGAGCCAAGAAAGCAGACGTCCCACGCATGCAATCTACACGTGAACCACAGCGCGAGAAGTCATTCATGCTTGTCAACTGATCCCTTCCGGGATCAGACCAGAAGAGGCGTTGGTTGAACAAAAATAATAAAATGAGGTATCCTACGGTACCCCAAAATCCATCCCATGGTTGATCATAGTTTGTTTACATGTAAAAATTGCCATTTGGGTGTTTCTCCATTTTTCCAGTACCATCCAATACCACTTTTCACCATGGCTTTCTTGAAAACGACGTTTTCACGTTGGTGCCTCTGGTGGCATTGGCACCTGCAAGGCCGGGCAGCCCAGTGTTGCACCTGACATGTGCTGCTTTTGCCACCAATTCTGAGGATTTTTGGATAAAAGTTGTGCCTTTGAAAATCTTCTGCAGGCGTGGATGCCGCTGCAGTCTCATCCCAAGGTGGAAGCAAATCCTGATTTCGGTAGAGGCACTACATCGAAGACGATGTTCAGTCGAAGCGAAGCACAAAACATGGTGTATTTTTTCTAAATGCCTGAGTTCGCCTTAGCCATTGAGAAAATGTAAATGATGTGAGAAGCACATGGAATGGGCAAGCAAGCTCCTATGAATAGTTACTAAAGTCCAGCAACCATCGCAGCCGGGGTTCATGCCACCCATGCTTGCACCATGAATAAAGAGGGGTCGTTGTCTGAGTCGTCCAAGAATCTGCCCAAGTTGCAACGCTGGAGAGCCGATGAGAGCGGATGCAGTGGAAAACTCGCTTTATTTTCCCATGCCTCTGGAGCCATATTCGCATTGAAAACCTGCGCAGCTGATCTCAGTAGCCACTCGGCTTGGGTTGTGTGATCTTCTGGAGAATCCTCTCAGTATCAATCAGTTTTACATAGTTTTACCCTTTGAAGCCTTTGATCAAAGAGCAAGCAACATAATTCTCAAACACTTTCGATTGAGAGGTGTCTGCAGAACGAGAGACTTTTGATGTTTTTTTTTCGAGCGCTGGGGCCGCTGGGGCCGCTGGGGCCGCTGGGGCTGTCCTCACCTCTGCGCGAACTGGCTCGTCACCGACATCAAAAATTGCCTCGCAATGACACAAGAACTTTTGTAGTCCAAGCCGGTCACGGCAAGCGACACCGAGAGCGCTTATACCGTATATCCCCACTCAATACATCTATATCACATCTATCGCTTCATAAATCCTGCGGGGTAGTTTCCTCAAGGACTTTTTTCATCCTGTTTCTATGTCACGCTGTGTCACCCTGAGTCAAAGTGGGCCTCTGTCAAAGCTTCCAAGTCTGCAAAGACATGGTGCCAGTCCTGACAGGAATCTAGAATCAGAATGAATCAGAATGCATCAGAATGCATCAGAATGCATCAGATTTCCAGATGCATCTCATCTCAGCATTTCAGGCCTGTATCAAGGCACGGGTGCCCTCGCTGTAGCCATGGCCTGGAAGAACTCACAACCCACGCTACCCCCATGAAGCGAGGCGCTGATTCAGAGAAAGTGCCACATTTTAACCTGTCAGCTTCTGTCTTTTTTGCACAAACAAACTTTGGACTGTCAAAAACCTCAAAGCTCTCTCCAAATCGTAACATCGAGATGATCAGTCGCGATTATGAAAGGGTTCTTACCGTTCTCGCCAGTGTCCATCTGCAGGTGTCACTGCCACCAGCAGGTGCCGGCGCCCTGCTGAACTTTCTTGTGAGATTGCCATTGAACTCCATTTGATAGCTTTGCAGCATACATTGTCAATCCGTTATTCCCAAGGTACTTTGGTTCCAAACATGAAGTTAAACACCCTTCAGATCAGCGACTATTTGGAACAAGTGCTCAAGTCTCAAGTCCTGTGCGTGAAGTTTGAGGCGCCAGCCCATGATGTCTACCCCAAAGACTGCGAAGCCTGGCTGTCTGGGTTTGGATCAAGGAATGAATCCGTTTCGTTTCCCAATCGTGCCCTCAAGCTTGAAGTATGATGGAAAGATTCACAAAATTCTAGATTTTGGGATTCTGAACATAAATTGTTGGAGGAATTTGACCCAACTCCAGCTTATTCCAATGCCAAAAAATGGCCAAACTTCAATGGCCTTCTCTCGCCAATCGAGGCAGGAACTCACCTGCCCAATGCCTCTGCGACGCTCTGCGATTCTGAAAGCTTCAGAAACTTGAAAGCTATGACAACAACGCAGCGATGCTGACCCTCCGTTCACGTGGCTGTTCATGCCGTGGCAGTGGACGATGACCGCCTGCAGCTTGAAAAGCATGAACTGGAGGAAGAAGAAGAAGAAGAAGAAGAGGAGGAGAAGAAGAAGAGGAGAAAGCAAAAAAATGGAAAAAGGATGAAAAAGGAGAAAGGAGAGAAAGAAAGAAGATTGATTCAGCCATCGCCCCTTGGTGTAAGTACAGTCAGGTCTCTTTTAGAGAAGGGTGCACATCGCCAAAGTTGTAAGGTAGACAGGTAGACTCAGGTAGACGGGTAGGCCATGGTATCCTGCCTTCACTTGCCGTGCTTCCAAATCATCGCTTGGTAGTAGGATCCGCAAATGCCTCAGAGTAGGCAGAGGTGTTCAAACCAAATTGCATCTGAATTCGATTGGATTCCCAACTTGATCCCAACTTGTTGTTTGTTCAGTCTAACCATTCGAGCAACCGTTCAAACCGCTCAAACCGTTCTAAGTTCTTCAAACAGCCAATCCCACTTGCCACGTTGCAGGCGATGTCCCGAAGGCGCCTGCAAGTACAGAGATAGACGAGAGAAAACCAGCTGTGTGTCTCCTTTAAAAAGAAGAAAATGTGCAAAATATCTGACGTCATCTTGAGTTCCCCCAACATCATCAAGCACACTCTTTCGCATGATTGCAGTCTGAAGCCTCTCACAATCGATTTTAGTAGCAACCCCTGCACGGCAAACTTTGGCCTGAAAGAATGCTTGAGTTTTCGGTCGCCTCGAAATAACAGGTCTGGTGCAAACACGAGCCTTTGCGGGTTCTCTTGCTCTCACTTTCACCCTGGGAATCCAGCTGAAACCGTTTTAGCTTCTCTAGCGCTGTCTCGTCATTCTCCGCCTTGCCAATGCCAAGTAGTAAGTTGCCGCTTACATGTCTCTACAAGATTCCCTAATCGTTCGTGACTAATTCATGTAGGTTTTGCCTTGATGTGTTCTGTGTTGCTTTGCAGAACATCTCGTCGAGTCAATGCCCCAACATCAGCCGCCTTGATGGATGCAATCCATCTTTCCTCCTCCTGCGAATCTGGAATCAGAACTAAGCATTGGATCCAGCGTAAGTGAATATTCAACATGTTCAATCAGTAGCATTAAAACCCAGCAATGACTTGTCCTCCGGAGTCATTGCTACAGTGTGCGGAAAAATTCATCTATTTGAGCCAGTGGCTAGCAAGGCCGGTGGGAGGTAAGCTGTTAGCAACCTGATTTCAGTCACAATCCAAAATCTTCCGGCAATGATTGCTCAGTTGCTAAGCCTATTCAGGCACCGATGTAAGGCGCCAGCACTCTGCTCGAAGTGCCTGTGCAATGACAGGAGCAAGGAAATCAGCTTATATTATATTATATATATATGTACATAATCTATATATATATATATGTGTGTGTACATTTTATACTATATTATATTATATTATAATATATTATATTATATTATATTATATTATGATATATTATGATATATTATGATATATTATGATATATTATGGTATATTGTGATATTAATAAAATATTATATTATATTATATCATATTATTGTACTATACTATACTATTTTATGTTATTTTATTTATTTTATATTATATTATATTATTTTATATTATATCATATTATATCATATTATACATATGTATATACTACAGTATATATATATATATTGCTGCAAAAAAAAAAAGTTTCAAAAGTGTGCAACTTCCAAATACTGCCTGCTCAACGAGTCTTGGTCGCTCAGGACTTCCGCGACAGGGCCTGGATGTGTCCAACCCCTACTGCCTCAGCATCTTGGAATCAAAGCCATGAATCATGTCAGGCAAGCCCCGGAGTCGCATGGTACCGCATCGCTGGAAGCTCCTGTTATCAACAAATCCGTGAAAAAAAAAACAAAATGTAAAGCTGCAACAACCGAATCTGAAGGAAATCTACCATCAACAACTGTGTTTTGCTGCGGATGAGATTGGAAACAAAACCCTAACACCCTCTTCCAATGAGTTGAGTCTCTTTGTTAAATCGACCAATATCAAACTCTTCCCATGGTGCCTGTGGAGAACTAGCCATCGGACCTGGCCGCTGGGATGCTGGGATAACGAGAGTACTGGCAATCTTCTGGACATTAACTGGACATTGGCGACATGGGTGTGTCTGAAAATAGTGTACCCCTTTTTACCCAATGGTTAATGATCATTATCCCTATTAAATGGCTATAATTGGGAATATACCCTATTTTCAGACAAATCCACATCAATGTTCTGGTTCTTCTGGTCCTTTTGGATTCCCATGGATTCCCTGCTTTCACATTCATGAATACTCCCAGAGGCTCAGCGTCTCCCAGCCATGAGTTTAACGTCTTGGATGTCTTGGGCCCCATACCATGGATGTGGCTGGAGGTCCTCATTTCAGGAGATGATGCATGCGGCGCATGCGGCTGTTGCCTCACACCTGACCTCGCCAGCACCGCTTCAAAAGACCATTTGATCTGCTATTCCTCTTCTTGTCAAGCACTGTTGGTGCCCAACAAAGACTTACACATCTCGCTAAGCACTTCTCACTTGTCGTTTTTGAAACCAGGGCGATTCGAAAGTTGATTGAGTCTGCTGTCAACACACTTGAACTTGCACATACACAGTTGGGCATATCAATGGCATATCTACATGGTCAAGTCTTTGATCCAAGGCGCCATGATGGAGAGCTACCTGGCAACCCGTAACTCCCGCAGTCTCACAAACCATGAAGCATTGGGTGCCAAGATTGTGCAGCACAGCCAGCAGAGTCCAGTTTCAAACACTCTAGCAGCTCTAGCACAATGCATGCCGGCGAGAATACTTTTTTGGCATCTCATCATCTTGCGGTCAATGGTTTGCTCCACAGTAACAGAGTTCACACAGGATGTGAGCCCCTGTTTGCTCTTCTTAATAGCAACAATGCACGGGCAACAAGCCCAGTTTCTTTCAGTAATTAAAATTCCAGACTTTGGATCTATGCCAGTTGCAGTCACACGGCTGTCCTACGCCACGAAAAGGACAGCTATCAGCTGATTCAGCTGCATGTGGCCAAGGTGACTCTGTTGTCACACAGACATCAAGACACGATTGTCCATCAGTATGCAGCACAAACTGCATGCCTCTGTTCTTGTCTGAACTGATCCCTTCCGTGGATCGGTTTCACCATTTCATGCTTGGATGGTCACCTCATGGTTGCAAAAAGGCTTCACCCAAATGTCTCTCGGTAAGAAACCTGTAACGAGATTTTAGCAGGTACAATCCGCTGGCCTGGGACTGTGTCGGATTGAAATGTCTTGGTCGATATCTTTTCTTTGGCTGTGCGTGCTCTTGTTCTTCTGAAACGCGTTTTGCTTCGTCTGAATCAGTCGTGCTGGCTCTAAAATGGTGTACGGCAAGTAATTACCTGCCATTAAAGTTGTCTAAAGCAACAGTCCGTCTTTCTTCTATATATATATATACATATTCTTCCTCTAACCTGTACAAGGCCAGTATTATGGCCCATGACAACCTGCTGTTACATCAGTTTGTTTTTGCACCCGTGTTTCTATACCAAACAGTTTTTGTACAAACTACTATAACTAATATCTTAAGAGACATCAACAAACCAAGTATTACGCCAAGGAATGTTCACCCACACCAGCGCCAACACCAAGCAATTTGTACACATGCTAGTTTTTACACAAAAAGCTTTTACACCACACCTGCTTTTACATCAACTGGCTAGCTTTTGCACAAGACCTTTATTTACACCTCCCAGTTCTCACACGAACAAACCTTTATGCACCAACCATCAAAATATCACCAAGCTTTACACCAACAAGCCATTACGCCAACCAACTTTTACAGCAAAGAAGCAACTCAGGTGTTTCAATTGGGACCCAAACTTTCAAAGCCAGGCCACAGGACCAGTCTGCAAATACTCCTCGGGCCCAACCACAATGTTGCCAAGAAATCTGCGGATGCTTTTCAGGCCTTCCAAATGACCTTAGAGCAATATGAGCAATGAGCATCAAATCATCTTAAACCATATTAATTAAATCCATTCAATCAGTCTTCTGAGAATGCAATTATGTCCACGTATCAACAACCTGCGCTGCACCCTGCCTGCTTTGCCATTGAAGGATGACACACCAGACTCCACGACACGGGTCTGAAACATGTTGTAGAAGGAATCCAGCGCCTATCACAAGGAGTTTGGAATGGCCTGGAATGGCTCTGGACCAGGGCAGTCAGGACTTCTGAGACCTCGATTCCTTTGCCTCTGCGATCACAAAATACTGTACCACCTCACTGATCTGCCAGGTTGCAGTGGCCATCACACAGTAGTCCTCTCCGAGAAAATGACATGCGTTCATATTATCAAATGCGCAAAAGCACAAAATTGACGAAACGGCTGATAAGATTCCCATCAGCAACCTGTCTCTCTTCATGTCGGAAACTTCCCTGTTTTCTTGGAGTCTTATGATGTCTCACTGATGTGAGTCTCATGTCGAGTTCCAGAAACCCACGCCGCGGTCCGTATTGATACCGGTGATCACCACCTCTTCGATGCCGAGCTTGTGCAAATGAGACTCCAAATCAGCCCCTCCAGCGAAGCACGAATACCTCAATCCCAAACAAAAACGTCTTGGCATGGCGGCATGGCGGCATGGCGGCATGGCTGTCCCAACGCAGACTCAGCGAGAGTAACCTTCAACTGCTCAGTTGGATGGATGGCTTAGGCCTTGGCTGATACTTTTTCACGAATTCCTTGGGACAAGACAGAGGGTCCGTAGCACATCCAAATAAAATGGACATGGCGGACATGCTGTTCACACCAAAAATCACACCAAAATCACTGGTAGTTCTGGTTATTTGCTTATTCATCCAGATTGTTCAATGCCAAGTGTCCAGCCCCAAGTCACGCAGCTCGGGTATGAGCTCAGCACCCGGAGTGCCGGCATGTCCAATGTGTGGGAACATTTCGGCCAGAGAAGATGGCGGACCGCCTCTGATATCACAGCAATAGATTGATTCAAGGAAAATCGACAGGAAACCATGGTTTTACCAGCCAAAAAAAGCAGTCCTGCAAAATGTCCCTGAAATTCTGGGACTTAAAGCAGGAAGAGATTTCAAATAATTTCAAAGCATGCAAAGGCTGGAGGTGCTACAAGGTGCAGAAGGCGGCCTTTCTCAAACCAAAGGTGGGAATCAATCAATGCGTCCTTGGTACGAGCACAGAGCATGGTTCCCAGACATAGACCAAACATGCCTGTGACTTGCTGACACAAACGAAAATCGCAACATGCTCACAGAAATCATCCACAACATTTCACAACTATATCAAGACAAGAAGCGAATGTGCCGCTTTGCGCAAGCTCTCTGATTGTCTGAATCATCTTATCCTTCTGGAATGAGATGTTTGCCACCTGCTAAAGCTGCTAAAGAATCTCGCTTTCACAGAATGGGTTCTAGGTGGGCCAATTTATAAGTCCCATAGCAGCCTGTTCAACGGTCATGTCAACCACCACGAGGGCCCGTCGTATGGCTTGTGCAACGGGCATCGCCCACATCGCCCAAAGCAGAAAAAGGATGCGCCGCATTGCTGGAAATGACTAAGTGCTGACAAATCCACTTAAGCCAAGCTCGAAAAGCTCGAATTGGTGTCAGCAAGTAGTACTGGTAGTACTCTAACAAAACGAAGTAAAACTGCAGAAGAGCCCAGATCTCATGTCTCTTGAACCACTTTGTACGCCAGCCTTCTTGGTACCCAGGACCAAGCTTTGGAGGCAACCTCTAGAAGATGTGCAGGCGGTGAATGCATTTGTCTCAAGATCGAAATTGTAGCTGAGTAGCAGCAGATTGTTGATGCTGTTCAACATCCCATCCTGATCTTTGGCTGAAAGAGACCCATTAAAGAAAAGTTGTTTCAGCACAGAGAAGTCAAAACGGTTCCAGTGACTGTGGAGGAAAATGCTCAAGAGAAAGGATCCAAACGGCACTGTCATGCCGAGTCAAGGCTTACGTATCATCTCATTTCGTCTAGACCTTCGGACCACTACGCTTGACACTGAGTTTGTCGCAACAGATTGGATGTCCGCTCGAGTGGATGCATCGAGGAACTCGGATTGCCATGCCATGTGAAATCTGCCTCGCTGGGACGGTGGGCAATTTTGAGATCGGAGTCACTGGAGGTCATGAAATTTGGGTGTGTCTGAAAATGTCGTGTACCCCTAAACCCAATGGTTTTGCTGATCATTATCCCTATTAAATGGCTATAATATGCTATTTCATTGGGAATATACCCAACATTTTCAGACAAACCCATTTTGCTCATGACTCAGCAGCTCAGTTCGCAGCATGGAACCCGAAAAGGGCTCAAACGCTATCCATCAACGCTACCGACTTATAGCCGATCTGCTGGGCTTCTCTCCGACACTTTTTCTGGTTCACACCAGGCACTGGATGGTCAATGCTTGGGAATCGGAATGTCCTGTTCTCCGACAAACCATCAGATTTGCACCAGCATTGACAAATATTGCTGTAATTTTCACAGGGCATGTGCCAATTCGTCCTGGCAATCCAATCAGCGCAAGGGGCTTGAATCTAGAGGTTGCAAACTAAGACACATGTCACGTGAAATCCACAAGTGAAAGACTAGACCTTGAAATATCGTGGCATGAGCAGGTCGCTGCAATGGTGTAGCTTGAAATGTGTGCAGTGCTGCCGGCGATTCTTCGCAATGGCATCAGAAACACTTGTTTTCTTCCTGCTGGACGGTTCAAAGGCTGCTCTTCAGCAACCAACCACTCTCAGCAATTTTCTCTGCAACAGAGCGGATTAGTGAAAGATCAAACACGTCACGGCCATTCACCTTCGGGGAAGCGTTGTAGGAATCAAATGACTGATACGACTGATATGACTGTTTACCAATTGATATTGCTAGAAGCTCTCGGCCTGACTTCGAATGCGAGTCTCCATGTCTATCCAAACGACAGCATCTTTGTAGTTTGCCTGGAGGGAGATTTGAAAATCAGTGGATGTTGATAGTTCCTTAAATTATTCAAATGACAGGAGTTTGGTTTTCATGCATCTTGAAAAAATGTTTTAAATTGGAGGTTTTGTGGAGGTCGTCCAACAAAAACCGTGAACCATGAACGGAAGGAACTGCAATGAGTAGTCGCATGGGTAGACACGCAGGGGTCATCATTGGAGAATGAAAAATGCCACAAACACAGACTGAGTTTGAATTTTGAACAAGGAATGAGCACCGGGACTGTGCCCGGCTGCCACAGATGGTGCACCCAAACCACCACAGTTTGGCAAGATAGCACAAGTTCAGCATAGGTGAGTTCAGCAAGTAATGTAAATCCAGCAAGGCACATAGCAATTTAATCGATTGATGTAGGAGAGCTGGATTTAGACAAACAAACAGGGTAGTTGGCACCAAGCAAACGTGCCGAATTATTTGGTCACTGGTCACTTTGAAATGGGAATTCTTAAGACTAGGAGAATAGAAAAATTCAGTTGCAACATGTCATAATATGTGTGCGTGTGTGAGGGCCTGTCCGTGTGTGTGAATGTGTGTGTGTGTGCGCGTGATTTTTACTTACATACATACATACATGCATGCATGCGTGCATGCATGCATACATAAATACATCCATCCATGCATGCATGCATACATACATGCATGCATACATGCATACATGCATGCATGCATACATACATGCATACATGCACACATGCATACATACATGCATGTATATTATATATATATACTGTCAAACTCACCTAATTTGCTGAACGCTGAGCAGTGCCCTTTTGGAACATGTCGCCTGGCCTCGCATCCAATCGCCGTCCGCGATCCTTTCTCCATCAGAGGAGGGTGGGCAGAGGAGCCAAGCTATGGCTGGTAAGGACAAAACAGAAGAACAGGGTTCTGGGTTGGGGCAGGGCTTCCCCATTTCTCGAGGCTGAGATTCACACTGGTAGCGGGGCCTCCATTGGAGGCATCGGAAGGTAAGGTACTTTCCCCAAAATTTCTTTAAGATGGGAAGGCGGTTCCTAGGTAAGTGTTGCAAGTTGTGAAAATTTGGTCGTTTGGGCCACTCAGTTTTGCATGCAACAAACAAAAATCTTACAGAACCATTTGTCATCCCAAACTTCAAAACGAAGAAGGCATTCCAGTGCTGCAGCAATGGCCACGACGGGCGAAGGTGGCACTTCTACCACCAAAGATCGGACGAGCTCCATCTGGTCAATCCTTCCGTCTTTTGATCCAGCCACTGATGATCCTAGGGAATATGTGGACAAGGTGAAGTTCATACACTCCATCTGTCCAGCCAAAGACAAGCCGATGCTTGCTCCGAGACTTGTGATGTTGATGAAAGGGACAGCATAGGCTCAAATTCGTTCCACAGACACCTCAAAGCTGCCGGATCCTGAACAAGGCATTAAGGCGCTTCTTTCCTCAGTGGCCACTTGGGAAGAAGCGGCAGGGCTTCAGACCTATGAAAAGTTGACCGCGCCATCTACAATCTACAAGATCATCCAGAAGAACGACGAAACCAACATGAGCTTTGTCAATCGGCTCAATGTGGCATTCCAGGACTTAGGTGAAGTCACTGTGAAAGAGATGAAAGCATTCATACTCCTCAAGCAGAGTGCTTTGACGCCTTATGACAAACGCAGGGTCATAGTAATGACGGCCGGGAAGATCAGTGCTGAGAAGATCGAGATGGCCATGCGCTCTCCCAACACCAAGGTGCTGGGAAGTGGTTCAACAATGGACCCTAAGAAAAAGGTCTACCCAGTCAACTATGTGGAGGATGAGGTGGAAGAAGCTCACAATGTCATCGAAGATGATGCAGTGGATGAAGAATGGATTCTTCAGTCATTGGTTGAACGATGCCCAGGTAATAACTGACTCTGAAGGCCAGTTGGTCGAGGTGTGCCAGGACTCGTGGAGTTGAGTTTGTGCTTCTCAGCCTACTTGGAGGCACGAAGCAGGACCCAAGATCGGATCAAAGCCCGAAGCTTTTGGCCACGAAAGGGCAAGGGCAAGGGCCTAAAGAAGGGCTTCGGCAGCAAAGGCGGTGGCAAACGCCGTCATTCCCTGGCAGGCAGGATCGCAGCATCCAATTGCAGGGTGTGCGGGCAGAAAGGACATTGGAAGTGGGAGTGTCCAAAGAGATCTAGTTCTCCACGGCGACTTCCACCGCAGACGTCAATGTGGCTCTCGAGGTGGAAAGTGGGAACTTTGAAAATGAGATCGTTGACCACCTGCCAGACTCTGAGGCGGTGATCTCTCTACATGATCTTCTTCAGGGACACCAGGACAGAAGGTCTGGGATCAAACAAGTCAATCCTCCTTTTGAGTCTCTGGAAATCCAAAAGGTGATTTCCCCTGTTAATGAAGAATTCGTTTTCATGACGGAATCTGGTAGGAATTTTCGAAAGCTGAATGATCTTGCCCAATCTTTGGATGCTTCCCGTTTGAAACAACAGTTGTCAAGGGTGGTGGGTCGTGTTTCTTCCAGGACTAAGGGTGTTGGACCTGGAACTGGAACTGTTTTGAGTGCTGAGGTACGGTGTCCAGGTATAATCGATACTGGTGCAAACAAATCCGTGATTGGGCAACGCAGAGTAAAAAGGCTGATCGAAAGTCTTCCGAAAGCAGCGCAAGTGCAATGAAGTTCTTTCAAGTATTGGTGCATTGTATCTTCCTATTGGTGACAAGTGGATGAGGTTGGAAGTGGTGAACTCCCAAATGCATTTTTGAAATCAACCTCGGCTGATGTGTCTTCTGGCAACAGTGAGCTGATTTTCAGGATGTAGGGTTCCCCTCAAAACAAATCTAAAAGGGTTATTCACTGTTGAGCTGTCAGAAGTGTTCCAGCTGTTTTCAAAATCCGGTCAAAATGACTGGAATTCCAATCACTGTGAAGTTGTGACATTTGCAAGTGATCACGTAGATAGTAGTAACACCATGAACCGCACAAGCACAGCAGCAGCGTTCATCGATCAGAGTGCGTCAACCACAGCAGCTAATGTGGCTCATACCCGAGACCCACGATCAGTGTCGCTTCGCTCGTCAACGAATTCTCTCCATGGCGAACATGAAGGGCAACCCATCGATGGGAGGGAATCAGGAAGTGCATGGACTGCTCCAGTTCCCAGAAGATGCAGGGCTGAACTATGTGAGTCCAAGTCAAGCCCCAATTCGCCATCCTCAGGGCATTGTTACCATGGCCCAGTGGGGGGAGCAGCGTTTTCCGGAAGGGAAACACCAGAGCAAGAGCTTCAAGGAGGTGTACGACCAAGATCACAAGTATCGCGTTCTGATGATGAATAATCCAAATCTCACAAATCCTTGGGTGTTGAGCAGAACTACGCCAGTGGCCATGGCTTCGAGCACAAGCCAAATGCCGATCAAGCCGGCCTCCAAGGCAATGGCTGCCCGAAGCCAGCCGCATCGTCGAAGACATCGACACCGCCATGGAAGCCCGAGACATCAAGTTTGGAACGGGAGCTCATGACCGATCATCTCAAACTGTCTCCACCACCCAAGAGAAGTCTCAGCCCGGAGATCTTGGAGAACGACAGCATGACGCTGGGCAAAGATGCCGAGAAGGAGCAGGCGCTCATGACCAAGATTGCCATCTTGTGGAGGGAGCTCGATCTGATGATAAAGCAATCCGAAAATTTGAGGTTTTCAACTCAGTGGCTCCAGCATCTATGCCAGGCAACACTGATGAGGTCATGTCCACTTCTGAAAATGTTTGCAACTGCCAAAAGGAGTTAGACTGAACGGCTATCAGTGCTGATTCAAAAGGAGCTGGACGTGATGCTGGCACTGTCGTGGCAATCCACCGCACAACGAGACAAATATCTATCCAAAGGTTTTCAACCTAATAATCAGAAGTGTAAACTTGATTTGCTGGAGATATACTGTGCGGAAGATTCCAACCTGACAGAAATGGCACTCAAGATGGGACTGCGGGCCAAACAGTTCACCAAACAGGACGGAAATTTGTCAACAGCTCAGGGTCAAGCAGCACTCTGGGATGTGCTTCTCAAAGAATGTCCCCGTGATGTGCGGATATCTCCAGAGTGCAAGTTCTGGGGCAACTTCAGCCGACTGAACATGTGTCGCAGTCAGGGAGCCCATGATCGTATTCAACAAGGTCGCAAAGGAGAACAAACAAACCTACTTCTATGTAGCGAGGTCTATGAATATCAGGTGATAATGGTAGGCATTTTCACATGGAACAGCCACAGGGTTCTGAAGTGCTTGAACAAAAGAGATTGGAGAGTGTTGTAAATGGTACTTTGAGGGCTGTGCTTGACATGTGTGAAAAAGGAAAACTCAAGGTTCCGAGGGGCAACAAAATTCTCATCGAAAAAGAAGTGTTGTCAGAACGACTTCACGAGAGCTCCATAAAACTTTGGACTCCCGATACTGCAGCAAGAGACACAATCATCAGCCGATGGAAAGGTCCATTCGATACCTAGGGCGACGGATAAATCTTTCGCGTCGTGTCGAAGAGAGATTTAAATTCGGGTCTTTTGAGAGGAAAGAGTACACTGGGATCAGCTTTCTTTAATTGGATGACTTCAGTATTGAATATGATCAGATATCCTATGTTGATAAGATTCCTCCAATAATCCCGAGGATTCGACAGCAACAACTCCATGCTAAAGTATCCGAAACTGAAAGAAGTGAACTTCGAAGTTTGGTGGGCGCGTTACAATACGCAGCAGTCCACACTGGGCCAGACATATCGGCAAAAGTAGGAGAACTTCAGTAATCGGTATGCAAAGCGACAGTTGCAGAATTGGTTGCTGCAAACCGTGCCCTCTTTGAAGCTAAACAGAATCCAGTGTCTCTGATGGTGCTTCCAAGGGGACGTAACGTTCTGTACTTTCTCAGATGCCTCCTTTTTGTCAAATAAACAAAACTGCGCACACCAAGGAACCCTAATATTTGCAACTACTCCGCATTTGCTGGA